TATATTACTTACTGCTGTACGAATAATTATGTGTATACAATCACATTGAATATCATTTTAATGAACTTAAAATATTGCCCTGTGAAGGCAAATTGTAGTCCTTACTTTGTTAGAGTAAAATGGTGGTTAAAATCCGTATAGGAAACCTCATTCATGTTGCGACTCCACAAGCAGAACTGTTGGCAACTATCTTAAGCTGCCAGTACCCATGATGCCTTGGTGCTCCTTTTGGCTCGCAATGTCATCTCTAGCATAAGTGTCTTACAGCAAGCACGCGACGGTGTAACTTCGATGGCTAACTCAGATTTTTTTATTACCGAAGCAGAAGGTAGTACACACGCTAACGTTGATTCGGTGCCGATAAAAAAAGTCTTATACAGTACATATTTGGAGAAACCAATTAATTTACTTATCAGCTTATAACACATTAAAATTAGGCAAAATCACTTTTTAAAAGGACAACATTTTCTCAAGAAGTTAAATCCCTTTTTTCATTTTAAATTTAGATTATATATTTGGATTTATGTGGTAATATTGTGGTGATAAAGTGAGTATTGTTAGTGTGAGATGATGGGCACGGTGAGGGTAGTAACTATCCCACACTGGGCAAAGGTGACTTTGAACATCGCCTTCACCCGGCAACCGAACACAACGCCACAATTATCCATATCATATCGTTCTCTCCCGTTGACCATTGGACAAACGTCCTTATAATTATGTTATTTTCTTGTGTGAGTTTTCTCTTATTCATTGCTTAGTATTTAAAATCATCACATTATATTTGTAAAGTTTCCGTAATACCTCAGAAAATGCGGAAACATTATGGGAAAGTCGAACTTTATGTTTGAGCGATACTTGCCAAGTTCTTGAAGTCGCATACTAGTCTGACTAGCTGGTGGAGCTTGACGCCAGGCGCCCTTCCTCTGAAAGTCTGAAGGCAGTTGGGTCGGGAGTTGACCACCATGGCACACGGGTAGTTGGGGATGTCGCCCAAATTATCTATAGCTATCGCGTGTTAAATTAGTGGATCATTGGAATACATACTGTCGACATAATGAATATTTTGGAAGTGTTATGGGTATGGTTGACGGCATTCTTAAGGTAAGTGTATTGTATATTGTGCCAAACATGTTAATGAACAAATATGATATCTTCGAATTGGAAGAAAATTCCACGATTTAATTTTTTGGGTCATAACTGTGTTAAGCAAGTTTGATATGATCCTACGTTTTGACTTGATTTTAACTTCGTAGCATACTGTAAAATGAGGACTTGTTTTCTTTTAACTAGACGTTTAAACGTAGCACCTCTGGTCATTGACACTGGTGTTAGGATATGATTTTGGGGATTTTGTAAATCAGTGGCTTGTGTTTTGGCGTTGAAAGGGCTGGTGTGGAACAAAATTCGACTTAATCACGGAAAACATTTCTTATCACTTGATTAGGCACAACCAGCTCATCTCACTTGATTAAACACCAGAGCTAATTTAAGATAAGATAACTCAACCTAACCCCTTCCCCTCCCCCGAGTAGTGTTTGGGTGTTTAATAGGCAGACGATATAAACATGGGGTGTCTGATATGTAGGTGATTCAATTTTTCAACTAATGAAATGCATTTGTACAGTATCCAATGTCAACAAATCCTCAGTTGTAGCCCCAGCACGGTCGATTTTTCTTACCATGACCAGTAAATGCATGTAATTATGATAATTTTGTCAACCATATTTTAGCTGCCGGTTTATATATATATATATATATATATATATATATATATATATATATATATATATATATATATATATATATATATATATATATATATATATATATATATATATATATATTGCAGTACCTGACTACGCTTGATTTATCACGTAAAGATAAGAGGAGGAAGCTTGACGTCATAGCGTCCGAGATAATAGTGGGCGTGCAGTCATTGGGAGACAGGTTTGTTCAGAAAGTGCTATAATAAATGTATAGAGGATGACATTGAAATAATTTGTGTAATATAAAGACAACCGCCATTTCAGTAAATATAATAAACTTTTGCATACCATATATGAACTTATTTGTTTGGGAGAAGAGTTTCCCGGGAGTCGAGTCAAGGTCGGGGTGGGCAGGGTGCAAGGAGTGTTGTGACTTGGCATAATGAACGCTCGTGGAGTTAATGGTAACATATATATATATATATATATATATATATATATATATATATATTACCGGGGGATCCAGGGGTCAGAACCCCCCTTCCTCCTAGTTAGGAGGTAATTTAAGGTCATTTGCGACGGAAATGTCATAGAAGAAAAGTGTCTTAAAATTGTCTAAATTATCGGAAAAAAAAACACATTGCTCAACTTCTAGGGCATATTCAGTATATTGTCCGAAATTGCAGTTTACCATATATTCAAGCTATGGACCGGCGGCTGTCACTTGTCAGTACTATCAGTATTTTGAGGCTTTTTGGTGTAACCCATGGTCAGCATAGTTGAACTGTTGGAGAACTTTTGGGGGGATATGTCTTGGCACAAGTTTAGATCATATTTATATAAAATAAATATTGAATATGCCAGTTTAACATGAAATCCAATACTAAAAATGACACATGAGCAAGGTTGTATTCCGATACCCTGCTTGGGCAGGTAATGAGTCGAGCAGTATTTTTATTTATTTTTTTTTATAGCAAAGTCATCAGAAGACATGCTACCAGTCAAACTTAAGGCAACAAGATAATTTTGTTTTGTTGCCATTTGGACACTTTTCTCTCTCAAAGTGTGACAAACTTGAGGACACAACCCAAACTGAGGGACAACAGAACCTCACTTAACATCCACCAAATTTTGGTGTGGGTAGTATACCAGTACATCCAGATTGTCAGGTACAATCATACAAGCAAATATTGTATTGACACTTTGGGATCAATCCGAACCAGGGTCATACCTGGAGCTGGTGGACGCCCGCCACACAAGGGGTCACAGGTTAAGGTTGAAGATGCCACAAGTCCAGAAAACTGTGAGGGCAAACTTTTTTGGAGTGAGAGTTGTGAACTCTTGGAACAATTTGCCAGAGAGTGTTGTGAAGGCACTGAGTGTGATCTGCTTCAAAACCAGACTTGACCAGCACTGGAGCAGGTTCAGATACATTCAGGAGCCATTGCATGCCCGCTACTTGCCAACACTGTGTAACAGAGACGTGACCGACTGCCCAAGCGGCTAATGAGCTGATCAGTGGCGAAGAGGATAAAAGTAAAAAAGTAAGGTAACAAGGTCAAACAAGATCAGGCCAGTGGAATTGAGTGGGCTGGCCATTATGAAGCACAACTGACAAAGAAACTCAAGTGATTCTGAACTTGTGCCAGCGTTTGTCGAATCTCTTCTTCAATGAGCTCACACTTGGAGCCGTCACAAAATTGGCTGATGGCACATCATTCAGGGTCCTTAGTTCCTTGATGAAGTCAACATGTTTCATGTGATCAAAGCAAGTTTATTTGTCTCAACGTCCACATACAGTATTTTCATAACCTAGCAATTACCAATACATTGATATTTGATGTTACAGAAGGCAGATGTGGTAAGGGTGGTAGGTCAAGGTCATAGTCCGTTAACTTATTGTACCATGAGTGTGATACTACCAAATATCACAGGCTTGCTCTGGGTACCCTAGGGAGTCTTTTGGATCTTATGAAGATAAGGACCCCTCCTTTTTACAAACGTTAATGCTAAATGGGGGTTAGGTTAGGTTAGCATTAGGGTGTTTCATTAGGGTAAATAAATGGGGGTTCTTAATTTTCATGATCCATAATTTTTTGGGCAAAGTTATTACAGTATATCGAGTTTTTGTTTATATTTTATTGTTTCACCACTTATTAGTTTACTAGTTCTTTGTTTCTTGCTATAACTTTATCATCCAGTTTACTAGTTCTTTGTTTCTTGCTATAACTTTATCATCCATTGTTAGTACAGGAGGAAACTGGAGTACAGTAAGTCCTCGCTTAACGTCGTGGTTCCGTTCTTGAAAACCGCGATGTTAACGGAAATAACGTGAACAGAATAAATTGTTCCCATAAGAAATAGATAAAATACGGGATTTATGTTCCCAGCCTCCCTTTGCCCCATAAAATACATTATGTATCAATAAATTCAATGGAATTTTTAAAGAAAAAAGTATACTGTATATTATACATCCAAAAAGATGATTAAACTAAATCATTTTGTATTGTACTCACTGATGGGTGGAGGTGGAGTGAGTGTGTGGTGGGTGGGAGAGGAGGAGGGCTTGCTGAACAAATACCAGTGCTGTCACTTACTTCACGTATAATTTAGAAATGCTGTACTGTTATGTACTGAACTGTATTAGTGACTTGGCTCATTTTGCTGTTACTGTATAGTACTGTACCTGTAAAATTAATATCTCTGTTAGCTGGAATCCTTCTTAACCGGAACTCCCCGATAACTGGAGATTAAATTTTCTCGGCGTTTTCCGGAAAATTACAGATACAGTATTGGGTTTAGGAATGATTTTCCAAGGGCTGCATTTTTTGGGAAAATTCTGAGAACATTTTCCTGGTACCATCTGGTGCCTGGAAAATTCCTGGGTGGGGGATTTTTTCCTGGCTTGAGAAATGACGTAATGTGCAATTTCCTGAAGTTCTGGTAAAATTTTTTCGTTACCTGGAAAATTCTGGGGATGGGGGATTTTTTTTCCCGGCTTTGAAAGAGTCATCTCATTACCCGGAAGTCTCTCATTCCTGGAAGTGCTCTGCACCAATTGTTGTATCAGTTGTTATTTTTATTTTTGGTTCTTGCAGACTTAATTACCTGTATAGTACTGTAAAATATACAGTATGTAAAAATATACTGCCTCTACTGTTTAATTTCCTAAAGTAAAATGCCCACTGATCTCCATCTAACAGTACAGTACAGTATTAAGAAACTCAGCCAGACAACAGACCATGTTCTTTATTTTGCAAAGGCTGTTACTAACCAATTATTTCTCATCCACAGGAAGCTGACCAACTTCTTCAAGATGGGTGTTCAGGATGGAGCAGGAGTGGTGACTCAGGAGCCCCAGGCCCAAATGTACAACTCTGCTCCTATGACCAGCTCCATCAGCACCGTTACTGACTCTGATGCCAAGGTACCAACACCTCTGTACTATCATGTGTAATTGCTAGGCGACACTCTCTCCCCGCATATTGTAGTTTCGTTGTCAGTGTGAGCTGTAATCTTTCTTCTACTGTATTCATCAATCATTTTTAGGGGTAACTAAGATTATTTTAAGCGCCTCCCTGCATATAGAATTGTAGGTTTCATGTTTGTTGTCAGAGTGAATATGCAGGGAGAGAGTGTTACATGAATACCTTTATATGTGACACATTTGATAAATTTAACAAATGTATCTACCCTGTAATAATGTTGTTTGATAGTACTGTATGTTTGTAGTACTACTGTAAATGGGTGTTAACACTACTGTGTGTTTTTGCAGAACACTTAGATGGTTGGAAAAATTATATATTTCTGAAAGTGGCATTAGATATTTTCAATATTTAATGAATTTACTTGCAGGGAACCAGCATGACCAAGGTGGGTACAGGAGCAGGGAATGGCTTTACCCAGCTACAGCCACAAGTCCGAGTGCTCACCCTCAACCATGGAGACCATCTTGATTCGTCACTATTTCGTTTGCAGAAGGGTAAATGATTTGATTATAGTTTTACTTGTATAGTACTGTATAGCTTCCCATACAGTATATTGAATGGCCAAGTTTCAGAAGAATTGAAACTCACAAGATTTAGAATGTACAATCCAATCGGTACTGGAATAGTTTTTTGTAGCACGTACTGTGCAGTATCGATTTTGTTATTTGCTTGGGTAATAATGAAAACTTCCTTTCAGTCCTGTTGTAGAAATCATATACAGTATCCTGTATTATTTTTGTATAGTCAACTATTTGCAAGGCCATATTGCAGAGTACAGTACAGTTTTTCGAATTAAAGATTTTTATTTAAGTAATGTATATACAGTAGAGTACTCATTGTTGTGCATAATTTGCAATGGATATCAGTAAATGGTCTATTGTATGGCACATTAGAGGATATCGTTCATTATTTGAGTTTTTTTGTTTGGCAAACTTTTCAGCTAGTTATTAAGTTAGCATTGATATTGTAAGTTATTGGGTCTTTTCATGTCAAACTTTTATTTTCTGAAAAACATTGAAAAAAGAAGAAGATAATTTTGCAAGGATAGTTGACTTGCACGTAATACTAATGAAGAAATAATGGCACCATAAATCATTGATGCAAATTGCTATTAGAAAGGGGAGAGGTACTCTTGAATATCAAAATGATGGATTTTTAGTACTGTATTGTACTGTATTGTACTTATACATTTATAGTACAGTACTGTATTTAATTGTAAATGGGTTAAGTTTACATCTTGGGAAAGTGAATGCGGTTGAATGCAGTACCGGTCATGGTGCTTTCTTCTTTGTACAGGTATAGTGTACTGTATCCATAATGTTCCTAATAGGCAATCATGCCTATGGGACTCGCTTTCACTTTCATTGTATTTAATATGTATTAATATATGTACTGTACAGGCTCTGCAGACGTTTTATTGTTGATAAGCAGAAAGGAGTGCAGTGTTTAAGTGGATACAGCTTTCATCATCTATTTCAAGGGTCACTGGTTTGATCCCAGGGCACAAGCTCACACAGCTGTAAATAGGAACATAACTTAACAAATTAGGAAGTACAATACTGTACAGTACTGTACTCTAAAGGTACTTGAGTGCTGTGCTGGCCATACTTATTCTTTGCATACCAAAGGCTGTGTATACAGTATGCTATATCTACTCTACCCCCTAAGATATAAGACCAATACCTGTACCTGTATTGGTAGATATACAGAAGCATGAAGTTTTTATTTATCCAGGGAACTAGCAATTCATGATACAAGGAGTACAAGAGTTACAGTAATTCAACCCTGTTTGACACACTAGACTTAATGGCTCCTTTTTTGTCATATTTTATGAAAATAAATGTACAGTACTCAACTGTGGAGTACAATTTTTCCAAATTTGTGCATCCTATACTAAAATATCATTCTTTAAATTGTCTTCATTAGGATGGGTCTTCCAACTTCGGCCAGGACCATCACTGCAGGGGAGGAGTGTAAGTGTCTTTACCAACCACCCAGATGATTTAGAGGAAGGTTTTTCTCGCACTCGTTATAGACGCCTGCAGTGGAAGAGTGACTCACGCAATAAGGGTGATGATACAGCTTTGTATGTAGAAGTTATTATTATGATGGCTGGATCATTCCATTACTACTTCACCTATGAAGATGGGTAAGCTCTTCTGCTTTTCATGAAAGTATTGTTACTATAAATTTAGATATTTTCAGTTTATTATAATTTGTTACATGATCTACAAAGTATTTTAATGGATAATAAAAAGCCTGTGCTTACAGCAGAGTGAACCTATCTGTACAGTACTTTTGAAGAGAGAAAATCACTATCTATAATTAAGATAGACAAAGGCACTATTTGAATTATATATATTTTTGTAATGTTGCTCCACAGTGAAGATCGTGAGAAGGCTCAAGGTTCAGGCTTTTTCCTTGTGGATCCAACATTACTAGTTGGCCTTAGCAATGATGTATTGAATCAAGATTGTATCCAGTGTCAAACAGTATTGTCAAAATGCCTGGGACCTATACCAGATTGGGAAGAGCGCCTGCAAGTATCTTTTGAAACTGGCTACAACATGATACACTTCACACCAATTCAGGTATGCAATAAAGGATGCATTGTGTTTTATTCTTAATTAGTATAAATGTGGGAAATACAATACCCTGTACTGAACTTTATTTGTATTATTATATACGGTACAGTATATTTTTTAATAGTCAGACGATATTCTTTTATGTTGACTATTACTGTAAACTATATTAAAAATGGTTCAAGTTGCTAACAGTTGTTAAGGTCAAGAGTATAATTTGAAAATTATTTGTTGAGTACAGATACCTACAAAAGTTTAACCAGTGACTGAATGTGAAGTATGTAAGCTGTGTGAAATTACAGTACAGTATTGTACTGTTGTAGGCATGAAGAGCTATACAGTAATACACTACAGTAGTAAACTAATTTATGAATATATCTAAAAAATTTCTTCCACCCCTCCTTCCCCTATTGAAGGAGGTAGTGGATATAAAAGTGGCTTCTGTCATTTTGTGTGTGCATTTTTCCACTTCTTATTTGGGTTTCATTTCCAGAGGATAACTCCAAAATTATGTTAATAACGTATTGCAATGTACAGCTTAGCACAGTATTACACACACACATGTTTACTCTCCATATTCATTTTACTCATTTGCAGGAACTTGGTGACTCCAATTCATCATACTCCGTCAAGGACCAGCATAGACTCAATACTGAGTTCCACACTCCTGACCATCAATACTCTTTTGCGGATGTTGAAACCCTTGTAAGAAAGATGAAGGAAGAGTGGAAGGTATGTTCACTTTATAATAATTAGTTTATATTGAGGAAGAGGAATTAAATTTCTTTGGGATTTTCATATTTATAAAATGAAAATATTGTTTTTGTACTGGGCATTTAGGGAAATGTTTTTGTTTTTTATAATATTTTAAAATAGTGTTCATGGGAATTATTTTTGTAGCTTGTATAATTTTTCAACATTTCCATTAGTTGGATGCACTACACTCCAAGGGGAAATTTTAGCTTTTCGATACAGTGGTACCTTTATCTTCAGTACATGTTGCAGGAAATTCTGAGATAAAGAAATACCGTGTATTGAATTCTTATTTATTGTATTTCTAATTTTTCAGATGTTGTCCCTCACTGACATAGTACTAAACCACACAGCAAATGAAACCCCGTGGCTTGAAGAACACCCTGAGGCTACTTATAACTGTACCAATTCGCCACATCTCCGTCCTGCATACCTCCTAGATCGTGTTCTCCATCACATGACTCTTGAAGTGATCGAAGGGAAATGGGAACATCAAGGAATTCCAGTAGCCATCAGAGAAGAGAAACATATTGAAGTGAGCATGTTTTAAGGATAAGGGTGCATAGCATACCTGTCAATGTTGTCTCCCAGAATCCAGTGATCTACAGTATAGTACTATGTGCCTTATCTTTGACAACTCATATATTCATTCCCATACTTTACCTTTCCCTCCTCCCACTCACTTCCTGCTTCTATTGCTTTCATTTCATCCCTTCTACATTCAATCCTGTCTCTAAGCTTTCTTTCAACGTATCATAAAATCTTTTGTCCATTTGCTCTCTTCTGCCACATCCAGATCTCTGAACCCTTGACATCAATTAAATTTTCCAATTTGTTCTTTTACATTTTGCTCGTTTTTCTCACCTGTGCATTCAGGGCGTTACAAACCTGCTTTCTAACACAGAAATTCACATATTTGCCCTTTCTGTTTATTAGTGTTGGCACCTTGATTACCATTTCGTAGAGATATCTTAGTACTGCAGCCCTTTTTGTCACCACCAAAGATACTACTGTACTAAGCTACTGTATATTAATTTTGAAGCATTGTCTAACTTTTTCCAATACAAATAGGTTTCATTCACTTGACTTTCTCAATCACATGTGTATTGTTTTTGTTATTTTTGGCCATGACTTTGAACTTTGAGCCCTCACACTTTTCTTTTTCTATATATTGTACAATAGTCTACTGTAGTTCTCCTTCTCTCAGTAACAGCTTCATCCATGTAAAACAATATTCTTTTACTTTCTTATTTATTAATATTTACAAACATTAAAACCCAATGTCGTCCATATGCAGTACCTTCATCTTTAAAACTATCATGCAATTGTGGAGAAATAACACAAGATTTTCTCACCCAAATTTAATTTTTACTACATGCAATATTTTAAACTATAGGAATGAAAATAGCTTGAAAATCATTATACAGCACATAAGATAAAATCTCTCTTTTTGTGCTTGTGTGATGTATTTACTGTGTTGTGACAATAATGTGAATAATCTGATGTATCTGTTATCATTACAGGCCATAAAGAATGCACTCCACAGCCACTTCCTACCTCAAGTAAAGCTTCACGAGTTTTATACTTTGGACATAGAGAAGATTATTCAAGATTTCCGTCGCAGGATCTCTGGACCAGTCCCCACCACTAAGAAATATGCAGATGGGATTTCAAAGGAATCATTGGTGATCATCCAGGACCCTCAGTATGGAAGAAAGACTTGCACAGTTGATATGAACCTTGCAGTTAGACTCTACAATATGCCCAGGTACTTTAATCTAGAAAAAATTTATAGATGAATTTTTATATTTAAAAGACTTTCATACTGTTCAATGTGACCCTGCACTGTACTGTACTTCTTTTTAGTAAAGCTTTGTACATAATTTAGAACAGAGATTAGGGAAAACTTTATATTATTTATCTTGCCTGATACCATATAAATGGGATTAGCCCACATTCTTATGACCGATTTTTTTATACAGTGAACCCTCACTTTACGCGGTCAATTGAACCCACGGCGGCCCTCATAAAGTGAGAAACGCGTAAAGTGAACAACATAACATATGGGATTACTTGAAATAGAGACCGGGCCGACCCCCAAACTCCACTTTTTCAGACACAATACCTACGTTGTAGTAAAAAAACTTCTTAATTTTATGATGGTATGCACACACAATTAATAATTAAGAGAAATATCAATAATATTAGGTTTTTTAACACTTACATTAGTAGAAAAGATGGCTGGGCACACGGGGATGGGGGGGTTGGTTCCGAGGCAGAGGGCAGATTATTGGCCCTCACCTGTATCACTTGTATCAATTGTATCACTATCTACCACAGAGGCTTGCAGGGCCTCTTTGTCAAACCCCTCAAAGTCCATATAAGTCCATGTCCTCACTATCATTATCACTATCACTGACTTGAGCCGGCTGTGGTGGGTGGCGGGTGAAGAACTCGGTAATGTTTTGATGACTGGGCGACCTTGTGCGCACCCTGCTCGCACCACTCTCCGCGTAAAAGGGTACACACACCACGGAAAGTGAGCATTCCGTGTTCGGCAGGGTACCGCGTAAACGTGGAAACGCGTAAAGTGGGACCGCGTAAAGCGAGGGTTGACTGTATATATTTTTTTGCGGTTTGCTATTGTGAATTTTTGGTAACTCTCTCTTGTATTTTCCTAGTGAGTCGATTGTGAAGACCCCCCAGGGTAGTGGGTAAGTTTCAACTAAGATTCAGAGAATTGGCTTGAAGTGCTTTCTATGCTTATAGGAAATGGGCAGCAATACCCTTTGTGATTGGTGTTTTGTTTCATAACCTGCACTTATTGTTCCCTAAAAATATTAACCTGGGTTTTCTTGGTTTTATTTTTGTATTCAGAGGAGTGTCAACATGAAATTTTTACATGATAATTTATTTGTGCTCCTTTACATTAAACCTGCTCACCTGTATATAAAATCAAATCATGATCTGGAGAGCTCATAGTTCTTGGCTGTATATTTTATTGCTTGTTTCAAATAGAACATCTAACCTGTGTTGATAATACTCTACTAAGGTTGTGGAATAATGGTGTCAGTACTACCAATCCCTTTTTGTATTAGTAAAAGAATTTGCAGTGACCTTTTAACAGTAAGCACAATATGTGTGATATTATAAAGAAAAGCTACATGGGACATTAATAAGAATGAAATTAAAAGGGCATTTTGAAATGTGAAATAATTATGAAAGAAACAACATAATGCTGCACCAAGAGAGAGAAACACCATGGTACAGTGAAGATATGGAAAGAGAGCTGATGGAGAGAGAGAGTACGGTATAGAAGAGCAAGGTGGTTGATTCTGTAAATAATGGAGTAGTGAAATTTAAGAAAGAATATTATAAATCTCTTTTAACTGATAGACAAAAGTGAAGATAATATCAGAAAGGGGAAGAATATAAATCTCAAGAGAAAGTAAAATAGGTTTTGTAGGTGAACTAAAGATAGGAGGTTTGTGAAGAGTGAAAGCATATTAAGTATGGATGACAGTTTGCTTGTGAGATTGGAAATACTGTACAGGGTAGTTTAAGAAAAAGGTAAGAGAGAAATGTTTCGAATGATAATGAAAAGAGTGAAGTACGGGTAAGAATTTATACGTAGGGACTTGGGACTTGGAATAAAGCAATGTTGCATTGTATCAATGTACTTTATACATTGAAATGAAAGACTTGACTGAGTGGAAGTAAGAGATCCAGTAACACATTAAAAAAAGAGTTAGGAAGTGCAGATGGTGAACTTGGCATGAAAGTCGAGAATACTGTAGCTGTGAATTTGTTAAGCAGGAATGGGGGAAGTGGATTCAAGGTACTGTAAATTGGGTATATCCTGGTTAATAAGAGGAAAATCACTACTGAGAATTAAACCTTGGTATCATTCGAGGGTTTAAAGTAGAATTTTGATTGATTTTTTGAATTGTTGAAGGAGTGTTGGTTACTTTCTTTAGTGATGGATGTGCAGAATAGTTTATGTGAGAAATGTAAGAAATTTGAGATGTGGAGGAGATTGTGTGGGAGAAGGTAAAGCTGCATCATATGGATTTGAAGAAAATAACCATGAAAATCAAGAGAGTTTAATTGCTGAAAACAGTGATTGCTCAGGTAGTGTTATGATAAAGTAAAACTTGGTACAGGGTATGACTGATTAATCTTGTGTGAATTATGATGCACCCTAAAAGTTGGTAAGAGAAAAATGTATTTATGAAAATTATGTGGATATATAAAAAACTAGAATGTGTACCATATTCATTTAGTGTATGAATATAAAGGAGAAGTAGCAGCAGTATTTTTCTTGATAAATCAACTTAAGGTGCTGAAATAGGTATATGTGTTAAGTGTTTAGGCACTGTACAATACTCAAAACCCAAATGATTTACAATGGTATAGAGTACTCATCTTTACTTATAAATTAATGGAGTTATACATTCTAAGGATTCATAAACTAATCTCTATTTTTATTACTTCAGTAACATTTACACAGGGCTTTGGTATCTTTTTTCATCATGTAAATGGATATGAGAATAAGTTGATAGCTTATATTGTTTTTGTTGTACTATTGGTGAAAATTATACTTAAATTGAGTGGGAAATTACATTTAGTTGATTAATATTACTTTATATGTTTGATCAGATTTGGACAGAAGTCATACCTGCACCTTTAACATAACTATAATGTTTATTTAGGATTGAGGTGATGTAATCTATCATAGAATTTTTTTATTTGTAGACCTGAAGCCAAAGATGAGGAAGAACGTATAATGCGTTGTTGTGCAGAACTACGTCAACATCTTGAGACACTGAATGACCAGCGCACAAGCGAAATCCAGGCACACCTCATCCAGGCTGTTGAGTGTAGTCTGGGCACCATTCGGTAAGGCCAATGTTGGATTAAAAAATATTTTAGTCTACCAGAGAAATTATTCCCAAACACTTGAGGAAGACTATTCATTTTATTAATGTGGCTTTATGTTAATGAAATGGCAATGATGTAGTTCTTAAAGACCATATATAGGGTTGTCAAAAATAATATGGATGTTTTATGTTTTAGTGATGGGTAATTGATGAACTTATAGAAACATTATGCACATTCCAGATACCAGCGACTACAACCTGATGGGCCAATGGTTGCTGAAGTGTCTGAAGAAAATCCATTAGTTCCTCCGTGAGTTTCTGATTATGATTTGCTTTATGTCGGCATCAGTCTGCTTACTTTTATCAATTTGATAATACTGTACTGTCTAACTTTACTTTATCCTCTACACCACTGATCGGCTTATTAGCCACTTAGTCTAACAAGTTAGTTGGCCTCAGTCATGTCCAGGGGAAACAAATCAACCCGGAGATTAGTCAGTTCTTCCCTTTTTCTATAATGTGTCATTACAGAGTGGGTCATTTAGGATATGAGGACTGTTAGACCTGGTGTCCTAATTAGACCCAGTTTTATTGGAAAAGGAAGATTGTCTCCCAAATTTCAGGATACCAATAAGTTTGGGGTCCATTAGGAAATGGGTCCAGTAAATCACCCTGAACTTATTATACTGAACAGTGAGGTTAAGACTAACTCTTTCTTATTCCATTGATATTGGGTCATATTAAGTCATGGGGCAGATGGATCTAAGTCCTGATTAACACCAGACTTAATGTCACATCAAGATTAGGGTAAACTCTTCATTTCCCATTTAAATTAGATCTTATTAAGACTTTGGCCCTAATGTTCAAATGGACCACAAAGTTACTGGTACCTTGTAGTCAGGCATAAGACTTCATTGTTTGATAAAATTGGGTCATCAGTACTTGGGATCCAGTGCACCCCGAGCGTAATAGACCCAAGCTTATTTTATTATTAATATATCATTTCACCACATATCAGCTTACTAGCTGTTCAGGCAGTTGGTCTGTTCTTTGTTATGAACTTAATTAATCAGTGTTATCATAATGTGTTGTTTTCCACAGTGCCACCATAAGAAAAAAATTCATACCAAATGGGCAAACCATATACATGCACAGAGACACGTCAGTTGATGCATGGCTGTGAGAGAGAGAGAGAGAGAGAGAGAGAGAGAGTTAACTTTTAAGTCCTATTAGTGTAATACTTTGCCTGTCTCACTCTATCTCTCCTTGCCTCTCTTTTCTTTCTGCTTCTCTCTCTTCTCTGTCTGTCTCTCCCTCTTTTGTTAATCTGCATAATTTTATTTTCAGATACTTCACTCACCATGGCAAGGACATGACCCTGGAGGAAGAAGAGGCCTTAATGTTTGGCCCAAATGCTTGCTTTTTGATGGCCCACAATGGTTGGGTCATGGGGGATGATCCATTAAAGAATTTTGCAAGAAAAGATTCGTATGTTTACTTGAGGAGAGAACTGGTTGCTTGGGGTGACAGTGTTAAGCTAAGATATGGGGAGCAGTCTGAAGATTGTCCATATCTGTGGGACTACATGAAACGCTACTGTGAATACACGGCACAGATTTTCCATGGTATTCGTTTGGACAACTGCCACTCTACACCAATACATGTTGCTGAGGTAAGCTTCTTTTGCTCACATGAGATTGCATCACTGTGATTAATTAATGCGTTTGACACCGTTTTTATAAATTAAGTTATTAATTTTTTCTTTCTCTTTGTACAGTATATGTTAGATGCAGCAAGAAAAGTTCGACCTGATTTGTATGTCATTGCAGAACTGTTTACTAATTCTGATCTGACAGACAATGTTTTCATCAATCGCTTGGGAATCAATTCTTTAATCAGAGGTATGGCTAATTCTTTTGTCCTGTATTTAGAACAGTATATTGTTTAATTTATTTGCAAGTTGTAGGATTAGCAGTACAAAATTTAAATTTGACTAAGAAATTGATTAAGTGTAAATAAAAATTAAATTTTTATTAAATATTTGGTTGTAATTATAAATTAAAATTAACTTAAAACACAATATATGATAGTACTGTACATTTTATGTTTGAACAGAGGCCATGTCAGCCCCCAACTCACATGAAGAGGGGCGCCTTGTTTATCGTTATGGAGGGGAGCCTGTTGGTGCTTTCCTGCTGCCACCAGTTCGGCCTTTGGTACCTTCCATTGCTCATGCGATGTTCTTGGATCTGACACATGACAACCGCAGTCCAGCAGAGGTGCGCACAGCTTGGGATATGTTGCCATCTACTGCTCTAGTCAATATGGCCTGCTGTGCTTCAGGATCTAATAGGGGTTATGATGAACTTGTTCCACATCATGTAAGTATTTTTTATTGTGAAGATAATGTTAGTATCATTGTGAAGGTAGTTTTTGTATGATTGTGAAGTTTATATGAAGCTCACAATTATCCTTGAAAGTAGAGTACAGTACTGTACTGTATGCAGTATAGTTTCCTTTACTTTATGGACTTTCAGTTTAGTATTTCCTTATTTAAAGTACTGTGAGCTCTGCTGTATTTTCAATAATACTTGAAGGAATTATCAGCATAATACAGTATATCTTATTACAGTATTGCACTTGCTTTGAGAGGTTAAAGGATTTTATTTTTATATATTATTTTTGTCTTAAATTCTGTTGAAGATGTTTTGGTCAAGTCAGTTTGAGAGACATGCAAGTGTAATTTACTCAATATAGTGACTCAGTTTTGTTCAATTTTACTATGATATGATATGACCATCCACTCAAGCCTTTGGTGCTCTACCATTATTCCCAGCTTTTGGATGGATTTGTGTGCAAGCACTTCTTTATCACACTATTCAAATCCTTTGCATTTTCCCAAATACTCAACATAATATTGGAGCCTCAGTATATCCCTCTGTATCTGCTTTCTGCTACTTCCTAGCCATATCATAATTGTTATTCACTATCTTAGAGGACTCTTGTAACTTTGTACTGTACCGGGTATTCATTTAGCATATGTACTAAAAGTTCAGATTCCCTACTGTTTACATGTACTGTACTGTACATGTCCTTTTTTTCCCCCCCAGATTCACGTGGTTGATGAGATGCGTGTGTATACAGCCTGGAATGATATAAACCCAGGCAGGGGAGAGGTGAACCTAAAGAGTGGTATCATTCAGTGCAAAAAGTTATTGAACAAACTTCATTTTGAAATGGGAGCTAATGGATATAATCAGGTAGGAAACTGCTTTCAAGACTAATGTTAACATTGAATGTATTTTTTTTTTTTTGCTGTATGCTGTGAACCATCCAGTGAAGCATGCATGTTTGAAAATTTTAACCAAAGGAAGAGGAAATAAGAACAAAAATGAATAGAATTATTGTATTCTCAGGTGAGATAGGTGTTGATACAGTTTGTTGAAAATCATTACGGTAGTTTAATGAGGTACTGTACTGTTTACTTGTTGTAATGCTAAATTTGTGATCTGCCAATTTCACTACATTTCTTTTGTGTACTAATCATGTGTTTATATTTGACACTTGTACATATGCTAGGACCTCTGTAATTTGTAGCGAAGCCAAAATTTCACTTTCTCTAACAAGTGTTTGCCCTTTAGAGTTCAAGTTTGTAATGTTATGTAGAACTGGAAGTTAGGCAAGTGGGGTTGTACTACTGTGGCAAAAAGGTTCAATCAGATAAATCAACTTAATATTTTAGCTTTGTATTGCGAAACTTATACTATAGGGTTATAGACTCAACACGCTAGAGGCATTTTAGGTGTAAATCTGTATAAAAAGAATCCCATGTGTTGTAAGATGACTAGCCTTCTTACTATTCCATTACTATTTTCAGCCATCGCTAGTTCTTATATGTGTTACAGTAGATAATTGAATGTTGCAATGTTTAGTGCCAATATTTAATTAAATCCTAATTATCATATAACTTTTCTCTCAAACAGGTGTTTGTGGATCAGGTAACCGAGAATGTTGTGACTGTAACTCGCCATAACCCAGTGACACACCAGAGTGTTGTACTGGTTGCATATACATCTTTCCTCCCTCCATCACAAATAAAGGACTCTTACATCCGCCCTCTGAAGGTACAGGGTCGTCTAGAAGAAATTATCTTTGAGATGCAAGTCAAAGGAAAAAGGGCAGGGTAAGTTTTGTTTGATAATTTTTATTGAGAAATTAATTTTCTCTGGGTCTTGACAAAGGAACATCAATAAAATTACACTGTGGCCAACTCAGTAAATCATGCCTTAGAGCAGTGGTTCCCTTTTTTTTCTCCCACATGATGCCCCCTTTTGAGTTTCACCAAACCCTCATGCCACACTCCCATTTTTCAAAATCAGTTTAATCAACTTTTAAGCAATTTTACACATTGTACTGACATTTGTATTACTTTCAAGATCAACTAACTCATAATTATTTTATCCATTTATATCGTGCATATGAGAAAGATTGAAATATACTGTACGCTTGCATCCAGAATCCATATTGCACACTATTATATGTATATAGGAATTAATGTACTGTATATGATGGTTAATTACCCCTGTATTCGCTTTTTATAATTTACAGTATTTATAACTTACACTTTATTAAATACAGTGGCCCCTCGGTTAACGAACTCAATCCGTTCCAGAAGGTCGTTCGTTAACCGAAACCATTGTTTCAATGGGTTTTTGGGTAATTGGTTCCAGCTCACCGAAAATTTCCTAACTTCAACAAAAATGGCGGAAAAATTTACTTACTTTGAGGTGTGTATGTAGAAGGCTCCTGGATGATGATGATGATGTGCATTTGAAGTGGGAGGTGGAGGAGGAGAAGGGAGAAGAGAAGGAAGTGGAGGTGGAGGAGAAGCATTTTACTGCTTCTTGGAAGGTGAGTCACCTTCCATGAAAATGTCAGGAACCTCTGGACTGACAGATTCTCCACCATGAACATCCTCTCTCCTTCTTGAAGTGGAAGGCTGAGGGCTAGCATCTTGTTCCCTCTGCCTTTTACTGAAGAAAGTGTCAATTGTGGTCTGTGGGGCATCTGTCCTCCTCACCATTAACTTATGTTTAAAGAAGGAGACCACTGAGTCCTCAACATGACACAAAGCTAGTTCAGTTTTTTCCACTTCTGGGTGCTTTGAAGCCAGTTCCCTGAACTTCTCCCAGTGGTAAATCACATCTTTCAACTGTGTAGCTGACATATGGTCATCACTTTCAATTTCCTCCTCACCACTGTCAGCCTCTACCCGTAACATCTCATCCAGTTCCTTCAAGTCATTAAGAGTAAGTTCCTCCTCATGAGACATCACAAGCTCTTCCACATCCTTCTCCTCCACTTCAAGACCCAATGACTGACCAATGGACACAATCTCCTGGTCCAACTCTGTGTCATCCTCAAATCCCTCAAAATCATGGACTACTGATGGCCACAGTGCTTTCCATGAAGAATTGAGGGTTCTATTGGAGACTTCTTGCCATGATGACACAATCAATTTTACAGCCTCCAGGACGTTGAATTGTGTCTTCCAGAACTGTTTCAGTGTTAGTTCAGGATCAATGGAAGTTGCCTGATGACACCTCCTAAACATTTTCTTCATGTACAACTTCTTGAAGTTGCTGATCACATTCTGGTCCATTGGCTGTATGAGTGATGTAGTGTTTGGAGGCAAAAACAACACTTTCACAAAGTCAAATTTATACTCCAAATTTCTGGCAAGGTCAGGGTCATGACCAGGAGCATTATCCATGAGGAGAAGAGCCTTTAAAGGAAGTTTATTGGTGGTTAGGTAGCTCTTGACAGAGGGGCAAAACACATCAACAGCCCATTCATTAAAGAACTGTCTTGTCACCCATGCCTTACGGTTGGACTTCCAATAAACTCCAAGCATTGTTCTTACCACTTTCTGTTGCTTGAACACCCTGGGGTTTTCAGAGTGGTAGACAAGCATAGGCTTCAGTCGGAAATCCCCTGAAGCATTGGCACCAAGCAATAGAGTGAGACGGTCTTTCATGGGTTTATGCCCAGGTAAAGAGGCTTCATCCTTGGTGATGAATGTTCTTTTGGGCATCTTTTTCCAGAACAGCCCAGTTTCGTCAACATTGAAAACTTGCTGTGGAAGATAATTTTCTTCTTCCATCAGTTTTTTAAATTCAATTAAAAACTTTGCTGCCCCTTCTTTATCAGCACTAGCAGCTTCACCATGCCTAACAACACTTAAAATGTCACTTCTTTTCTTAAATTTTTCGAACCAGCCTTTGCTAGCCCGAAAATCTTCAAATTCTGTTCCTGAAGAACCAGGTTGATCTGTCTTTAAATGTTCATAAATCTCCCTGGCTCTTTCACAAATGAAATCACCAGAAACTGAATCACCTTTCATCTGTTTTTCCCTAATCCAGATGATAAGTAACCTCTCAGTTTCTACGATTAGGGATCTACTTTTAAACACTCTTGTAGATTTGTCTCTCACGTTCACTTCCTTAAATTTGTCTTTTTGTGCAAGAATTGTCGACACAGTTGATGCCGACATGCCATATTCTTTGCATAGCGCATTTGATTTAATACCTTGTTCGTGTTTTTTTATTATTTCCTGCTTCATTTGGATTGAAATCACTTTTCTTGATCTCTTAGGCCCCATGCTGGATTCAAACAATGGCAACACGTATTTTTCAAAGTTAAACTAGCTGTAAATAAAGAATATTTTCTTTAAAATAACACTGCACTGCACTATATATTGTCAATATGTAAAATAATTTTCAAAATGACCAATAATTTGCTTGGAAACACAGAAAAAAAGCGTTTAGTTGAAGAGAGTCTCAAGCAAGATGTTACCTCCAGTGAAAACAGAGAGAGACTGACGCCTGTTTGCTGTGTTAAGAGGCTGGATGCCGCGCATTAAACTAGTCACTTTACCTTCAATTATGTTCAATAATTGTTAAAATGACTAAAAAATTGAATATTAAACTTTTAAAATAATTGAATAGTATAAACTTCTTGATATTTACAAAAATAGTAAGGAATTTAAGCCCTAGAACCGATTAATGTATTGGCGGACTGATACTAAAGCTGGTTGCCCGGTCAGTGCAAGCGAAAACATGTTGAGGTCGGTTCGTAAGAAGTTCGTTAAGCGAAATTTTTTTCGTTAAACGAATTGAAGATCCTTATGGAAGGCAGTTCGTTAATCGAAATTACGTTAACGAGGTGTTCGTTAAGCGAGGGGTCACTGTACTGGTTATTACTCCCCACTCAAGAGGCAATTGCTGAATACATATGCAAAATAATTTCACTTGGTAAACATAAGCATACGGTATATAATTTATAAATGCCAAAGAGCTGTTACTGACCGGTAATTTTATTTTATTGCCTTTAACAGTGATGAAGAAAAAAATATTCCTGGGTTCTTCACAAATGATTCAGAGTACATCAATGGACTAACAGGATTTGAAGTTGAGGTGAAAGAGCATCTGTCACCAGGCCAGTCAACTATGGTTCAAATGACTTCTGGTGGTGATGCAGAAACTACAGAATGTGAATACACAGATCATTTCACACCTGGATCTGTCATTGCCTTCAGGTAGGAATGAAAAATCCAACTATACTATACAGTACAAGCTTATTTCATAAGAGTTTTAAATGTTGAGCTGTAATCTTATATGAGTTATAGTAGTCAACTTTTCATTAGTACAACTCATAGAATGCAATTTAATATTAAAATATTTTTTCACATTTGTATTTCCAGACTAAGCCTACTTCCTCGTGCTCAGACTGCTGTGAATAAGATCAGAGGATCACTGTCTGAGTTTGGTTACAAGGTAAAAGAAAAAAAAAGATATAGGCAAAATTTTTGCTGTAGATTAAGATATCCCAGTCAAGCATTCTTCAAAAGACTGTTATAGTATCTTGCTTTCCATTATTTTATTGCACCCACATTCACACTTGCATGCATGCATGCATATAAACATATACAATATTACAATACAGGTACACCACCGATTTTCCGGCACCATTGGTTCCAAAGCCTTGCCGGACCAACCAAGGTCAGGTAATAATTCAACAATACACCTCTGACCCACTAATTATACACCTCCTGTGTCTCTAAAGCACCATGGACTGCTAGAAACTTAGATTAAACAAATATTAAATGTAAATTAAATGTGAAAAAGCCAAAATTTTGAGCAACATAACTGTACACACTTTGTACTCAAATATATACTGTACTGTACCACACTAGATGAGAAATTTTATCTCTAAGTGATGTTTATACTCAAATTAATCGCTATCTTGCAAGGATTCCAGCAATGCAATTTATATTTTGTTTAGTCAAATCTGCTACATTTAATAAGATAAAAACTTTAAGCCTAAAACTAGCTTCACCCTGGCTGGGGGGGAAGTTAAGTGCCCCCTCATAATTTTGTCCAGACTAAAGGAGGTGTTGGACCATCAGTTCCTGGATAATCGGTGGTGTACCTGTATACTAATAAAAATTGTTACTGGTGTTCGAGGATGGCTGACCCTAAAGCCACCTAGGTGTGAATTTAAGTTGTAAAAGTTGTCACCAACACAGCATCACACCTTGAATTAATGAGCTATATGATCCAGTGTTAAGGATTAAGCCATGATGAACAGACCACTTGCCAACTGCACTGACTATTATCCCAGAATATGATCTGTCAGTCATTTAACATCCACGTTTCCAATTGTTGCTGGGTAGATGGTCATGCTGTATTGCATAAAGGAACTTTCCCATAGTTTCCACTTTCCCAGGGATCAAACCTGGAACCACTCTGATACAAGTGCAATATATTGACCATTTCATAAGTTGCATAAACAATTACAGTATAATATTTTTTCAAACTTTTAAAGCTGATTTTAACTGTTTGTGTATTCTTTCTGCATGACATTCAGTGAATATTTAATTTTGAACTATTTAAGTATTATTTCTGAGTGTTGAGGAAGTACAGTAATTAATAGTAAGAGTAGAGGGCAATTGGCTGCTTTAAATAAACATGGGGATATTTGAATTAAAAACACTGAGAATGAGTAACAAATATGGTTCTACATTATATGAAATAAGTATTTTAACGACATTAATGTATTGGCATTTAATGAATTCATATTTTAATTCTTTATCAACTTTTACTTCTTACTTTTAATTCGAAAATCAAAATATGACTTGATATTTACTGCTTCACCTAAGCAGAAGCTGTCGTGTTCCTCACGATAATTCAACCTAGGCTTGCACCTTTTGTGATGCAGTATGGTCATAAATTATTTTTGATATGGCTGATAAATTGCTCATAAATTGATCTCAAGCATTTTAAAATAGTTTCATCATTTCATGCTGAACAAGGATGCAACATATGTAAGTTTGGTGTCAGGCTATCTAATGCTTCATTGATAAATGCAGTCACTGATTGGTTAAGCTAATAATCCAGTACTGTATATTAATTTAATTTTACCTCAAATGTCACAGCTGGTCAGAGAGGATGACTGTAGCAGTCACATTAGTTTTAGATTTAGTTATTAGCTTTATTTAGAAAAAAAAGCTTGTGTTTTAATAGGATATACTGTAAGTCAAGTTATAAATGAAAAGGTGTAGGGTATGTGGACAAAATAGAAGTTTATAAGTATGAAGACAAGTGGGATAAGAATAATTTTAAAGAAAAGTGTAGAATTTAAGAATTTAGCCATTGGTTAAGTGGTTCATTAGTTAGTGACAAATTGCTATGTTTACTACAGCTATGATTTTATAATTAGACAGTAAGCCAATTCACTGACTTTTTTTTTTTTTTTTTTTTACATTTTCAGTCCCGAATCTCTGAGGTCACAACTCACAATGCTACATTGATGGATATTGTGAATAATCTGACTTTAGCGGACCTCAATCGTGTGCTGTATCGTTGCAATGAGGAAGAAAAGGATGAAGGCCGTGGTGGTGGGACATATGAAATCCCTAACTTTGGACCACTGATATATTGTGGCCTGCAAGGTGAGCCTGCTTCAGTTTCTTTCTGTATTCAAGCTATATACAGTATAGGGATGATCATGTATGAAATCATAATACAATTGTAATTAAATTACATCATTACTAATCTATCCAGATTTCATGAACCCTAACCTTGACTAATTTTGTATTGGATTTGTTCTTTTTATGGTAGGAAGTGACATGTTATATGAAAAATTAAAAAATTTACATACATCAACAAATTTCCAGGAAGTTATACCAAAAAATCAAAACTTTACCCCTACCAAGCAAAAGTGTTTGTCAGGTGAATTTTAAGGTTTAATTGGATGATATTTCCTGGAAAAAAGACACATACGGTATATAAATAAAAACAAATTAGTGAGTAATAGCCTGGTTAAACCAACTATTATTTTATGAAAATTAATAAGAAAGGCATCTAATTTTTGTATCTTGTAATTTCAGGAATAATTTCTGTGCTAAGCGAGATCCGTGTGCACAATGATCTGGGTCACCCACTATGTGGGAATTTACGTGATGGTGACTGGATGCCAGACTACATTGTAGTGCGTCTAAAGTTGGAACCCTCAACACAACGGCTAGCTGCATGGCTCGAGGTAAACAAGTCCTAGAAATTTGTGTTTTTATTATAAATTTTAACAATTCCATCAGTTAACTATGGTATGAAGGATAAATAAATAGGGGTGGATGAAGCTGATGGTAATGTATTGGAGGTTTACTGCCTCATCTAGAGTGTGAATACATCAGAACATCATTAGTACATTAGTGTACTTTACACATCTCCCTTTACTTCATAAAGTGTTGTCATTTATGTGCATGCCTTATTTTTGCTGAGTAAAGTGGATGGCTGTATCTTTTGTTGGTATTTATTTGAAATATGTATATTATTTTGTTTTTTGGGTGTTTTGCAGGAGGTGTTTGGATGGCTGAAGGAAGTTCCACGCTATCTCATACCAGCTTACTTTGATTCAATAGTGACAAGTATCTATCTCACTCTCATCAACAGAGCTTGGTCAATCATGGGAGAGTAAGTAAAGCACTTTTCCCAGGTATTCATAGCGTCCATAGTAATTAGTGAATATATATATATATATATATATATATATATATATATATATATATATATATATATATATATATATATATATATATATATATATATATATATATATATATATATATATATATATATATATATTGCACACGTTGCTTCGTTATAACATCGCTACTCTTTAGATACCCATGATTCCGACATTTTCCCAACTGATTCGATATAACATCGTCACAGACTACTTTGTATGGTGCATCACCCTCTCTCATTTTGGCGCACTATGCTCTCTCGCGAAGCGTCACAGCATCGTCAGTCTTTGTTAGGCTTCCACAGCGTATGTGCATGCTTAAGTGTTTTTGCTATAAATACTGTACTGTAACCATTCGAAATGGCTTCCAAGCACCCATTAAGTGTTAGTGATGCTAGTGTTGTGAAGAAGCAACGTAAGACCATTAACCTTGCTACGAAAATGGAGGTTTTAAACCCACCACACACTCACTCCACCTAAAGTGAGTACAATACAAAATGATAGTTTATTTATCTTTTTGGATGTATAATATATATTTTCTATCAAAATTCCATTGAATTTACGTATACTGTATGTACAGGTACTCCTCGACTTACGACCTGCTCGACTTACCCAGACATACAACCGCCGTAGTCGTATAAAATATTTTTCAAATTACGTATTTTTGAGTCCTGACGTTAGTGATCGCACTGTGTAATGACAAAATTTTCGTTTGTAATTCCCTTTAAAATGTCTGGCAAGCGTAAAAGTGAGAGTTCTCTTTATGCTGAGAAGAAAAAGAGACACCCATTTTACATTTTCTATGTATATTATTTTTGCATTTTCGTCTTACGACCTGGTCGTCAGTCCCTAACCCCGTCGTAAGTCGAGGACTGACTGTTATGTACTTTATGGGGCAAAGGGAGGCTGGGGAATGTAACTAGCGTATTATATCTATTTCTTATGGGGAAACTTGATTCCGTTAACGTTGTGTATTACAAGAACGTAACCACGACGTGAAGCGAGGACTTATTGTATATACTGTATATATAGTTTTGGTTGAAAGACATTTGGAGATAAAATGTGTGATGGAGAAAATTGCTTTTGTTAATCCTTATATCTTGTCTTGCAGGTTTGTATCCCAGGGTTCAGATTTTGTAAAAGCCCTGGGTCTTAGTTCAGTACAATTCTGTGGTATAGTGAAGTCTGCATTGCTACCTCCATTGTCTCCTAATGTTGCTCCACCTGCACCTTTGTCTGTCTCTGATGGCTCTGTGGGTGAAATACAGTTGTCCTCTACTATCGCTGCTGGTGAGCCCCAAGATTTATTTTTCTTTGAAATATAGATAGAAAGTGCAGTACATTAGAAGGGCTTAAGGCCATTGGCATTTGCTGATTGATTGTTTTATATTTTATGAAGTGTTAAAGATTGAATATTGTATTTTCAATTATGTGACATGTCTCAGGCAAATTTTAAAGAATGTTATATGTTTATTTCAGGGCTCCCACACTTCTCCGTTGGCTATATGCGTAACTGGGGTCGTGATACTTTTATCGCTCTTCCTGGAAACCTCCTCATCACGGGCAGATATGATGAAGCCAGGTACAGTACTGATATTAAATTTTTCTCTTGTGAAATTGTCAGTAACGTTACCAATTATATGGTTTAGTTTAAATTAACGATAATTTTTTTTCTGTGGATCATTTGGTCCATAGATGATTGTCCATTTTTACACCTTCATCATCGCTTTTTATATTTGCCCCATGTAAATACTGGTACAGTATACAACTAATTTGAGTCACTCCTTTCCTCTATTCATATTTTGTAGGGCATTTGCTATCTACAGAACATTGCTTTCATGACAATTCCACCAGTGTAGAATTTTTAGTGTATATTGTAGGCATGGGTACTGAGTAGTAGATACTGTACTTGAATATACTGTATATGGGGTGATGGGTATTTTAGAAATTTGGAGAGAATGAAAGAGCCAAGAGAAGTAGGTACAGTATCGGTGCAATTGGAATAAGGACTAGAAGAAAATGGATACAGTATTGTACAGTTGAGAAGACATCACAAAGGAAAGTATATAATTATATATTTAGGAAATGGTTAATTATAATAAAGATGATGCAATAAATGAAGTAAATTAGTTTAGAGGAAATACTAATGGGATAGTTTGGAAAATCTTTACGGTTGGTTGGAAAAGCGAGCAAGTACAGTACTAGAGATTTGGAGGAAGGCATGAATTGTCCTCTTGCATAATGGCAAAGGTAGTATAATCTCCGCAAAGGAATTAGTCTCCTTAGAGTGGTTTAAATTACGAAAAAAAAAAAATCTGAACAAAGATGAACAAAAATGGAAATGAAATACAGTACAGTAGTTGAAGCTAAGTCATACAAATAAAAAGATAATTTGGAACTGTAAGAGCATTGAAGAGTCTGATGTAGTGTATGCAAGAAGACTGCATAAAGAAAACTCAAAAGTAACATGTCAGCATGGTTAACAGCAGGAGAATAAGAGGGCAACCAACAGATTGATGGATTATGTAGAATTAATAAGGTTTACAATGTACACTCCACGCCATCGCATTATGCGCGAGGTGGCCGACGGGAAGTGATCTTTGCTGAAGTGTCTCACACCCCTCCACACCAGCCAGCTGAGGCTGAGGCAAGCATTGTAAGTCTGGCAGCAAAGGGAGACTCGAGGACAAGTCAGCCAGCAATCAAAATGTTCACCAGTTGCCCACGTAAATTTTGTGAACGAAGATTTATGAGTCCCCCCGAAATTGCCCCCTATTTATTGCCACAATGCCTGTTGTTTCTTTGCTTTTTTTTTACCACAATGGGCAAGAGGAAAGATTTAACAAAAGAGCAGAAAGCGTCAATTATTAGTCTGCATTAGGGCAAGAAACCTGTAAAGGAAATATCAAGAATTGTTGGTGTGAGTGAACGATCAGTTCAGGTTTGGATTAAACGATTTCGAGATGACAGCGGGTTGGCAATACCAGTGCACAGCGGACAGCCAGGGAAGGCTCGAAAAACTTCCCAACGCACGTGAACTGTTCTTAAGAGGCAACTTGATGCTAGTCCACGTCTGTCAGCACGGGAATTGAAAGAAAAAACCCTGTACTTCTAGGTGACGACCTGCAGTTTCGCAGCCACTGCGCGCACAAGAACCCACTCCTCATCCTTGTCCAGAGGCAGCGTAGGATCCCTTTTGTCAAGGCTAACACTCAGTGGGATACGACCTAGTGGCTCCACGTGCTGTGGAGTGACGAGGCAAACATTTTCTTTTACTGGAAGTCGTAGTTTTAATGTGTACAGGCGCCCTGGGAGTGATTCGCTTGGCCCCTAGTTCACTTTTAGCACAGTCAAGCATCCTGAGTCACTAATGGTATGGGGTTGTTTCACGTACTTTGGAACTGGTGATCTTGTTGTACTACCTAAGAATGTGATGATTAACCAATTTAACTACTTGGAGCTGCTTTGTGATTATTTGCCCGGGTCTTTTGAAAAATGTCGCGCTGCTGTGTTTATGCAGGATGGTACCCATGTCACATAGCAAAATCTGTAATACAATGGCTTGTTGACTGTCAGGTAGACTTCATAAGTGATTGGCCAAGCAATTTGCCTGACCTTAACCCGCTAGAAAATAAGTGGAGCATTATCAAGCTTCGTCTACAAGGCAAGGACACAAATACCGTCCCCAAGCTGGAAGCAGCCATTCATGAGGAGTGGAATAATTTAGACCCACAAATAATCCACAACTTGGCAGAGTCAGTTCCTTCACGCCTGCAGGAGTGTATCGAGAAAAAGGAGGCCTATAGACTACCGGAAGTTTGTTAACGTCTCAGATTATTTTTTTATTAATAATTCATATTGTTTATGTGCGCGGGGGCGCATAATGTAATGGCGAGGAGTGTAGTGTTATGTTAGATACAGCCCCCTCCCCTAAAAAAAAATAAAATGTAGATTGAAAAGGAGATTAGTTTTGTGGCAACATTAATGAACCTACTGATCCAACTTGGTATGTACAAAGAAATGACTTGAAGCTGTGCACTAAGTGTGGTTGCTAAGATTTATTTTGTATGCTGCATATGGAATTTGAGGATATGCACAAGTACTAGTATGTATGGCTATTTCTGCTTGGTGTCTTAGTCCATTCTTGTTATTAATCACATATGTTTTGCATGTCACTTCCTATTATTTTCTCACCTTTGACATTGCTTTACCTAGTGATACACCCAGTGCAAATTGGGAAAATGAATTGAGTAGTTAATAAGGAGGCAGGAAATCAAAATGAATTATTTCGTAGAACTAGAATCAACTCAATTGTTCAACAGCCATTTTATTCATCTATCTTCATATTTTGAAAAGGTTTATGTGGTACATACTTGTCTTTTTCAATGCAGGTACAGTATTTTGTTTGCATTGTAAAATTTTCTGGTACATTCATATTTGTTGTATTTTAATATAATATTATGTTTGTAGGTGGATCATCTTGGCATTCGCTGGCACAATGCGTCATGGTCTGATTCCAAACCTGCTAGATGGGGGAAAGAAAGCACGATTCAACTGCCGAGATGCTGTTTGGTTCTGGCTTCAGGCCATCCAGAGGTGAGTGAGTGTTCACATATACCATAATATTGGTGCGTATACATTATAGATCATGGTCTATTCAATATACAATATATGTAGTAACAATTCACCCCCACACGAGACATTCTCTGTCCATCCTATTCCAGATCCCAATGTGGTCAGGTAAAGGGGGTCTACTTATTTTCTTGTGTATGTATGTAAAGTGTGAATGTACACAAAAATATATTAGGTGTGTATAATTGATGCTGAATAACAGTTTTATTTTTCTTTAGGTATGTGATAATTGCTCCTAATGGCCACCAAATCCTGAAGGACAAGGTGTCACGACTCTTCCCAACTGATGATTCTCCACCACAAGAACCAGGCAGACATGTAAGAATAATGCAGAATATATTTTAACATTCATACCATGTAAAATTTTAACAATTACCAGATTTCATCTTCCTATCTAGCCTTATCCACAAAATTTCAATCCCCGAAGGAGGCCCCCAAGGAATGATTATAACGGATGAACCTTCGGTCTGTCGTAACAGTACATACTGTATATCTTTTTTCTATTCTATCTCCCTTTTCACCACTTCTGTTCTTTCCATAATTTATTCCTCCATCCTGCCTTTCCATGTTGTGGGCTGTTTCCCTCTTTCCAGTGCACCTACTGTATTACATAGCTTCTGTACATCTTCTATACCATACTATCCTCTGACATCCTTTTTACATATCCATACTGGTTCAGAAAACCTCTCCTCAGCCTTTCTATCAATAGGCAGTTCACACCCTCTTTCCTCTAAGCTAGTATGACTGCCCAGATGCAGAGTTCAGGTAACTAATCTCAGTTACTTAAATTTTATAGCATTATATGATCATTTCAAACTGTCAAAGTCCTTGCCTTGACAAGAATGTGGAAAATTGTTTTCTCTTTTTAAAATAATGATATAAACTTTATTTCAATAGGATTAAGTTGAAATATCAATCCACTGCATTTAAGACTAAATGGAGATTATAAAACTTTAGGTGAAGCAGTTAATTTTTATTCATTGTGATGAATAATTTGAAAACAGTTGCAATGAATTTAATATCCAGTGTAAATTTTATCTCTAAAGTTTGGGTTCTCCTCTCCTTTAGGATCAGCTACTAGAAGATGTGATCCAAGAAACTCTGCAGCGCCACTTCCAGGGAGTTCAATTTCGTGAGAGGAATGCTGGTTTCGAGATTGATCGAGAAATGAGCAGTGAAGGTTTCAATAATGAAATTGGAGTTAACCTGGAAACTGGTAAGATAATGTTTTTTTTTAAGTAAAAAGTTAAGTAATCAGTTCAAGTAACTTGTGTGCCTTATACTGTTCAAATTTTCTGCAAAGTGTTGTTATTGCATAATCACCAAAATCTGGCCATTAATATTGTGTGTAAGTGTTTTCTCTTGCAGTGGATGAAAGCCTAAGTTTATATGTGAGTATAAACATTGAGATACTATGTTAGTATACAGCAATGTTCCCCAACCTTTTCAACACTGGGTCACAGTTCCCAGCACCTCCAAGATTATTTGGTCACATTTCAAGTTTGTCATCTGATAAATGACACAACTATTATGGATATACACATATATTACAGTAATAATTACAGTCACACTATGCTCATAGTCAGCATAGCGAATGAAGCACATCAACTGAACCCAGTTTGTAAGATCCGTGGATTTGTCAAATTGCAATCCATAGCAGGGACTTTTCTTGACCTTTTCTGTTAGCTGTACAAGCAGGTCTTCAGCAATTGTCAGTGTCTGTCGTTCAATTGTTGTGGCTGAAAGGGGGACCTCATTCAGCTTCATAGCAGCACTTTCACCAAGCACTTCTTCCGAAAGGATTTTCATTGCTGGTACGATGATTTCTTTACCTTCTGTGAAAGGTTTCTTTTTAGTAGCGAGCAGGTGCTGTCGGATGCTCCTCTTCGCTGCTGTAAATTTTGTTTTTTCTTCGGCGAGTCTGCAGTGCTGTCAATCGCATGTAACATGTTAAGTGGGTCACAGCACGTGGTCGCAGTAGTTTGCCGGGTCACGCTAGTAAGTGGTTTGGATCATAGTGCTGTAACCCGGTCACAGGGTTGGGGAACACTGGTATACAGTATTAATATTTATATACTGTATTGTGAATACAGAGTCAACCAAAAATCATGTTGTACTTTGCATAGATAGAGGAGAAAAAAATTATTAGTACTGTATTTATTTTAAATAGAAGCACACAAGTTGTCCAATGTTCCATTGTACCTTAACTCAAGTCTTAGGCTAGAGACTGTAGAAGGCAGTGATTATAAAAGAAAAGTTATGCATATTGTTGTAGTATTCAAGTTATAAGTAGGAGCAAGTGTGTCTTCATATGTGAGTTTCTACTTAGTATATTTGCCCTTTCCTTTTACTATCTACACTTGCATTGCACCCACTCATCTTTAATACTGTACTATCCCTGTTCTTTAAGGTTTTTGTGCCCCTTCATCCACCACCACACATAGAATTGGGAACCAAGTAAAGGTGATAAATGGGTAGATAAACAAGTACTATTGATGGGAGTGCAAGAAGAGTTGTTTCTGCAAAGTATAAGTTTTTTTATATGTAGAAAAAGAAAGTTCTCGGTAAAATAAGATAAGACTTGTTAAACAACATTTGAATGTACAATTTACCTAGTAGGATAATATGAATATTGAAATCTTGTTTCTCACTTTACAGGATTTGTGTATGGTGGCAATATCCACAATTGTGGTACATGGATGGATAAGATGGGGTCAAGTGAATTGGCTGGAACAAAGGGTAAACCAGCAACCCCTCGTGATGGAAGTGCTGTAGAAATCGTTGGTCTTTGCAAGTCTGCTCTACGTTTCCTGGGTCAGATGCACCATGAAAACAAATTCAGTTACAACAGTGTTGAGAGAAGGGATGATACAGGTAATATTACATTTTACATTGTTTGGGGAAATATGATTCTTTTGTGTTCTCAACCTTTCTACAATAGAAAATTGGAGAACTCTCCATGGAGTCTACGGTATGCATCAGTGAGGTTGTTTTGGATTGCTTGAGAGAAAAATGCCAGCATTAGCACTGAAAGTGGTTAATTTTCAACTCATAATTTCAGGTAAACCGACAGTACTGTACTTTTTTTTCTCCTGTTATATGCACACACAATCTTTCATTGTGTGTGTGCAAGATTTTTTTTTTTTTTTTTTAATAAGGAAAACAAAACCAAATAAACATTTCTTACATGTGCCGGAGTTATCACACCGAGCGGGAAGGGGTAGTGGAGTAGAGCCTCCCACGCATGGGTCGCATGTGTTATGCCATTCCAAGGTGGTCACAATGTCTTGAAATATTGCAAGTTATGTAAAAAAAATATATGTATATATGTAAAAAAGTATTTTAGTTGAATATCGATATAACTCAAATTACGAGTTATCAAAGGATTTACTGGTAGCAGCAGTATACTGTATAAAGTTTGTGTGAAAATAAGAATTGCCTCATAAACAATAACTGCAATTATCATATTTCAGGAAATGTAACTAAGTGGACCTATGAATTCTGGGAAAAGAAAATTCAAGAAAATTTCGAGAAACATTTCTGGATCAATCAGGAGCCTACGCCAGAAAGAGAACCCAAACCAGAATTGATCAATCAAAGAGGCATCTACAAGGATTCATATAATGCTTCTCAGTTCTGGGCAGACTACCAGCTTCGGTGCAATTTCCCTATTGCCATCGCTGTTGTAAGTTGGCCTTTGTATAGTATGTGACAGGCATGTAAATTTCTTTGTGTGAAGTCTTGGTGTTTTAATACAAATATTAGCTTTGATATCTGGTGTATAAAATTAAACATATTATCTCCGTAAAAAAAAAAAATCATTTCTGCAGGCTCCTGAAATGGTATCATCCCAAAATGCTTGGGTTGCATTGAAGAATGCAGAGAACATCTTACTAGGTCCTTTGGGCATCAAGACACTCGACCACAAGGATTGGGCCTATGATGGTGTCTATGACAACTCCAACAACTCAACTGATCCCAAGATTGCCCATGGCTACAACTATCACCAGGGGCCTGTATGTTTTAACATTAGAGAAGTTATTTATATTTTACTTTAATGGGGCTCTGGTCTCTAGGTGTAGTGCTCAGCTTAAACATTTACCATAGTTGAACCAAATTTTGTCCTCTAAGAAGAAAATACAAATGTCAGTATATTTGCTGTCATACATAATGTTAGTATCAAACTCATTGCTAAGCTAACCTTCATTCAATTAATACTGTTTAAAGTAATTTGTTATTTACATTAAACTGTAATATGATATTGTAGATAAGTTGGTGGATCCATTGCATTGGTCTACTGAACCCCTAATTCATGAAAGAAAAAAAATAAGAACAAACATTTTCCTTCTTTTTAATGAAGACCCACTGTTTCTAGGGACTGCAATTATACTTTCCTTTAACAACATTATGACATATTAAAAGGTTTATAATGATTTTCAAATTAAATCATCCCTGCAAATTTCAATTTTTCAGGAATGGCTGTGGCCTGTTGGGTGGCTTTTACGTGCACAGCTAGCAGTGGCCCCTAAAGTTGGGGGCTTTGAAGAGCTAGGACGTTGTATGGGTCATGTAAAGTCCCTCATGGCTCCTCATCTAACTCATATGTTGACTGATCCATGGCGCTCACTACCAGAATTAACAAATGCTGAAGGTGCCAAATGCAATGACTCTAACCCAGCACAATCATGGAGTACAGGGTGTTTGCTCGAGGTGAGTGAGCATAGTGAAGCTTTTCTTCTAATTACATAGTATCATATACCTCAAATAATGATTTTTTACATTCAGAAAGACTGAAAATATTTTGTAACCCAATTATATTTAGCAAAAATTAGGTTTATATTAATTATTACAATATATTTATTGTAATTTCTGTAATTTCTCAGGTACTGTGGGAGCTAGACCAAATAGAACGAGGTCTAAAGCGTTCCAGTATGACCACCAGCATGTGAAGAGATCCGGGCTACGCCACCATCCATGCACTAGATACACCACTCCAGCAACACCCTTTACCCATACATGCATCTTCACATTTGTGCCAAACATACCAAGCCAGTGACTCATGGTTCCAAGTGTCCCCTAACAGCGTACAGTTCCCTCCAGAGAGCAACAGGCAGCACCGGAGATTAAGTCTTCAGGCAGAACAGCAGGTTGCAGTCCCCGACCCATCATATACAAGCCTGCAACAGAGAGCTCTACAAACAAACAGGATTGTTATCACAACTAAGGAAATGGATCCTTTATGTTCATTTGTCAAAGAAGTGGATGTAGGCAACACAGTGATATGTTATGTTCCGCGTAATGTTGTGTTCAGTGAAAAGCCAGACTTTTTTGATACTGTAAATGATGTTGTCCATGTTAAATGTACCCAAACTGATATAAATTTTTCTATGGCTCTTCTGCATAAGCCACAGCAGCTCCCAGAAAATTGTCTCGTTGTTTGGACAATTGATGATCGAATCAGACGACATGCGATGTGGAGTAGCCCGGAGTATGTGAACTTAAGACATGAAAAGCCCCAGACGAGTGTAAAAGCCCCCTGGTTCCGAGGGAGAGGTGTGACAAAAGGGCACTTACTACATCCTTCTTCAAGAGGACCTGTTATGACAGGGCCTGTCTATCATAGTAGTAGGTCAGGTTCAAAGAAGTATCAGGGAAGAGTACCCTCCATAGTGGCCTTATTAACAAGTCATGCTAAGAGTCACCACAAAACTCAGAAAAATGTAATGCAACCAGATGTCCAGTTACCAGTGCCAAAGGTTTTTCATGATAGTCATTCTATGACAGAGAAAGGATACTGGCAGCAGAGAAGGTTTGCACCGGTTTCTCAAGAGATACACATAGCCATAACTAAGGAGAGCAAGCAGTGGCAAGAAGATTCAGACACATCCAAGAGAACCCAACCAGAGGAAGAATGCTTAATTAACCCAGCTGCAAAGAAAATGGAGATTATCAGTAAGGAAAAGAGATATGGTTTTAGTTATCATCTAGATCCACCCACCACTACAGGACAGTTACATCGTCCCTCAATTCTCAATCTGCCACCACCACCACAGATGCCCTTACCACCAGTTCCAGAAGCTCATGATCCTGCAGTGCCTGGCCCATCTTCTAGAAGTGATCTTTTCTCACTACCAGGGAAGCCAGCTGTGCCATGGAAAGAATTGCCACCTCTTAATACATCAAAAGATAGTGACATATGCAAACCCGTGGCTTATAAGGCACAAAGAATTTCAGAGTCTGTTACTTTTGTAAATCCCTATACTCAGCAAGCAGACTATGAACCATCATTGAAGGAGGTGAAAGCAGAAACCCCAGTAACCCCACACTCGGAAAGGGAGAGAAGAGAGTCAACAAGTCTCTTTTTACCAGAAGAAGTCGTCAAGCCTCATCATGTAAACAAACAAAAACTTTCTGCTGTGTTAGTTTTGTCTTTGTTTGTTGTTGCCCTTATAATGTTCTATCTCTTTTATTTTCTGTAGAGTACATTTCTTTGTTATACTGTACTTGTTTCCATTTGTATAGCTTTCCATTAATACACTACACTAGATGAGACATACTCTATTCTGTTCTGGTGGAGCTTTTGTAGGCTTAGTCTTGTAGCTTACATGACGTCCTGAATGTCTTGTTTCAATGGAAGAAAGCAAATTTCAAATAAGTGACGAATTATCAGTTATCTGATCAATAGTTTTAAAAAATTTTGCTCATGCCTTTGAAACTCTTGTAATTCAAATTGTACATCTGATTAAGTAGTGGAACATTAGTCTATATAGTATAATATTATCCATGACGTGCTCATGCTGGTCTAGTTATTGCATGTTGTATTGTACTCAATACTAATACTGATGATATCTTACCCCTGTGTGTTGCCTATTATAGATTCTAAATACTGTTAAATGATATATACAGAGTGTTGCTTTATGCATAAGGATGGTGTTGTTTTAATATTTATAGGTCATATGCATAGTTTGTTTATATATTTTCTTGATGCTTGAATCAATAAAATTATTGCTGGAAGTGTTTGGTTTTGATTTTCTTCCCCAAGGCACACTCACGTGCCCTGATAAATGAGGAAAATACAAGGCACACGAACGTGCACTGATAAATAAGTAAAATACAAGGCACACGAACATGCCCTGATAAATGAGGAAAATACAAGGCACACGAACATGCCCTGATAAAAGAGGAAAATACAAGGCACACGAACCTGCCCTGATAAGAGGAAAATACAAGGCACACGAACCTGCCCTGATAAATGAGTAAAATACAAGGCACACTCACGTGCCCTGATAAATGAGTAAAATACAAGGCACACAAACATGCCCTTATAATTGAGTAAAATACAAGGCACACTAATGTGCCCTGATAAATGAGTAAAATACAAGGCACACGAACGTGCCCTGATAAATGAGTAAAATACAAGGCACACTAACGTGCCCTGATAAATGAGTAAAATACAAGGCACACTAACGTGCCCTGATAAATGAGTAAAATACAAGGCACACGAACGTGCCCTGATAAATGAGGAAAATACAAGGCACACTAACATGCCCTGATAAATGAGAAAAATACAAGGCACAATGAACGTGCCCTGATAAATAAGTAAAATACAAGGCACACAAACATGCCCTGATAAATAAGTAAAATACAAGGCACACAAACATGCCCTGATAAACGAGTAAAATACAAGGCACACAAACATGCCCTGATAATTGAGTAAAATACAAGGCACACTAACGTGCCCTGATAAATAAGTAAAATACAAGGCACACGAACGTGCCCTGATAAATGAGTAAAATACAAGGCACACGGATGTGGCCTGATAAATGAGTAAAATACAAGGCACACTAACGTGCCCTGATAAATAAGTAAAATAAAAGGCACATGAACGTGCCCTGATAAATGAGTAAAATACAAGGCACACGAACGTGCCCTGATAAATGAGGAAAATACAAGGCACACTAACGTGCCCTGATAAATAAGTAAAATACAAGGCACAAAAACATACCCTGATAAATGAGTAAAATACAAGGCACACTAACGTGCCCTGATAAATGAGGAAAATACAAGGCACACTAACGTGCCCTGATAAATAAGTAAAATAGAAGGCACAAAAACATGCCCTGATAAATGAATAAAATACAAGGCACACGAACGTGCCCTGATAAATAAGTAAAATACAAGGCACACTGACGTGCCCTGATAAATGAGTAAAATACAAGGCACACTAACGTGCCCTGATAAATAAGTAAAATACAAGGCACAAAAACATGCCCTGATAAATGAGTAAAATACAAGGCGCACGAACGTGCCCTAATAAATGAGTAAAATACAAGGCACATGAACGTGCCCTGATAAATGAGGAAAATACAAGGCACACTAACGTGCCCTGATAGATAAGTAAAATACAAGGCACACGAACATGCCCTGATAAATGAGGAAAATACAAGGCACACGAACATGCCCTGATAAATGAGGAAAATACAAGGCACACTAACGTGCCCTGATAAATGAGTAAAATACAAGGCACACAAACATGCCCTGATAATTGAGTAAAATACAAGGCACACGAACATGCCCTGATAAATGAGGAAAATACAAGGCACACTAACGTGCCCTGATAAATGAGTAAAATACAAGACACACGAACGTGCCCTGATAAATGAGGAAAATACAAGGCACACTAACGTGCCTTGATAAATAAGTAAAATACAAGGCACACAAACATGCCCTGATAAATGAGTAAAATACAAGGCACACGAACGTGCCCTGATAAATGAGTAAAATACAAGGCACACGAACGTGCCCTGATAAATGAGTAAAATACAAGCCACACGAACGTGCCCTGATAAATGAGTAAAATACAAGGCACACGAACGTGCCCTGATAATTGAGTAAAATACAAGGCACACTAACATGCCCTGATAAATAAGTAAAATACAAGGCATACGAACGTGCCCTGATAAATGAGTAAAATACAAGGCACACGAATGTGGCCTGATGAATGAGTAAAATACAAGGCACACGAATGTGCCCTGATAAATGAGTAAAATACAAGGCACACTAACGTGCCCTGATAATTGAGTGAGACAAGTCACAAGAACGTGACAAAGTTAAGTATCAGCAGCCTGAGGCCAGCATAGTCACAAGAACGTGACAAAGTTAAGTATTAGCAGCCTGAGGCCAGCATAGTCACAAGAACGTGACAAAGTTAAGGAGCTGACAAGTACTACTAGCCTGAGGGCAGCGATAGTCACAAGAAAGTGACCAACTTAATTCCACCAGCCTGAGGGCAGCATAGTCACATGAATGTGACCAAAAAATTAAGTATCAAAGGCCTGATCTGGTTTTGAGCATGAACGCTCAACGGAGTGGGTGTTACCACAAGCAGTAATGAGTAGGATGACATACACAAACATTATGTTAGGCTGTAGGTCATGTCATGTTTATTGGGTGTGCCTGCCCGTATATAGAGTATTGAGATGGTGGAAGATGAGAGACCCACAGGAGGTTGGAGTGTGTAAGGGGAGCTTGTTTATGTATAATCACCTGACTCAGCCCTCGCCGACCAGCGAGGGTTGGGCAGGCGACCAGGCTGGCACTGTAGTTGTCCATATCAGAGAGGCAACACCTAACCTGGTTCCTCTGTAGTTATTCAGATCATAAGGGCAACACCTAACCTGGTTTCTCTTGAGACTTTCAACACATAAGTTTAACTGGTACTTATTGTTTACACAGGTAGACTGTGTCTATTGCATCGTTTATCATTGTGACAACATAAAATATGGCAAATTAAGTACTCATTGTAAGTGTTAAGATTAGACTAATTACATAGCTATGATTGTTATGTAAATATATATTGAATTAAACATTTATGTATGATTTATTTGAAATACTAAAATGAATTGTATTCAACAGGTTTGACCGAAATATAACGTTCGGGTTTAACGTGATGAGTCTGATTAACCTTTAAACGCCCGAATGGCGCTTATAATAGTCATAAGAAAAAATTAAAAAAAAAGAGCCAAATCGACCCTCTCGCCTGGAAGACAATCACTCCACACTAATGCTTGGAGGAGCACCACATGAAAAGGTGTCAATACTTCTTAGTTAGCCTAACACAGCATTACAGTGTGGAGTGATCGTCTTCCAGGTAATGCAAAACCAATTTTCCCATATACAGTATGTATGAAATTAGACAGTTTTAACCACACAAGGAGTCATTCATGATGTAACATAATAACAAATAAACAAAACACTCAAATTTCACTTACCAGAACAATGTTGAGTGCTGCATGAGGTGTTGAGGTAAGGTTGTGGAATCAGAGTTACTGGGAGTTACCTACTTAAGACATCAAGTTTAATGTCCAATGCAATTCCATTATAGATTCTTTTATCACCACTGCTCTCACTTGCACTTGATGCTCTGTTTCCACTCATTTTGAATGAGGTACGCCTCCCGGCAGCCATCTTGTAGCTACCACCAAAATCCACAACAAATAATGTTATAATTTTGGTGAAATATTTTGTTCTAAACCAGGATTTTTCCTTCGAAAATCTTAATTAATTAACCCAAATTCCATAAGGGTGAATAGTTATGAACACAGATGCACAAATGAACACAAGATGGGGAAAGAATTCAAACTGAGCACTGCCATTGTTGTGGTGGTTGCTGGCAACTGGGGAGATAAGCAGCCTTCCAACCATCTTGTAGCTATGACCAAGAACCCACATGAAAATTATTTTTTAAATTCGGTGAAATTCTTTGTTATACAGATCACAATTTTTGTTTGAAAAATAAAAAAATTACCCAAATTCCGAAGGGCGAGTTTTTCAAATTCCATAGACAAATTTCCGTAACCCGAGTTTATGTAACGTAGGGAATGCCCGTGCAGTACATGATACAGTAGAATTCCAGTAATCCGGCACCTTCGACGAGTGAGAGGTGCCGGATCAACAATTTTTCCAGTTAGTTGAAAATCAATCGTAGGATCACCCAATAAAATCCTACAATACATAGTGCTACTGGCTCACCGTGCAATTTTGCCTTAGAAAAACAGACTTCTTTAACATTTATTTCACTCTCTATAAATGATGTGGCTTAGAAATAAATAAAAAATACAGGGGGGCCCCCAAATTTGCGGGGGTTAGGTTCTCAAAATGGCTGCGAATAGCCAAATCCGCGAATAACATTTGTTGACCCGGGGGGGAAGGGGGGTACATTTTTACTTGTGTACTAAGAAATGTATACAGTTGGTCCTCATATTACGCGGTTAATGTAACCCGGAGGGTCCCGCGGAAAGTGAGGAACGCGTAAAGTGAACAACATAACATATGGGATTAATTGAAATGGAGTCCAGGCCGATCCCCAAACTCCACTTTTTGACGACACATAACTATGTTGCAGTAAAAATTTTATCTTAACTTTATGATGGTATGAAAAAACAAGTAATATAGAAGAGGTTAGGTTAGGAAAGATAAAGGTTAACATAGGAAAAATGAAGGTTACCTTAGAGAAACTAAAAGTTAGGTGGAACACTTACGGTAGTAGAAGAGATGGGTCGGCATACGGGGATGGAGGCTGGTTCCGAGGCAGAGGGCAGATTACTGGCCCTCAGGTGAATCACCATTACTAGGTGAATCATCATCACTGTCACTTACAGTTGTCAGGGCTTCCCTGACAAATCCCTCAAAGTCAACTTCACTGTCACTATCACTGGCTTGGGCTGGCTGTGGTGGGTTGCGGGTGAAGAAATCTGTTATGCTTTGCTGACGGCTGGCGTTGATGTTGTCGTGATACACCTTGATGTACGGCTCCATAGCCTGCACCAGCCGGTTATGGAAGACTTCATAGCGGTCATCGTCATTGTCGCGGGAAAGGAAGGACTTCATCTTCTCTGCACACTCCATGGCACCCTTAATATCACTATGACTTAAATTGTGTTCTTCGGAGACTGCCGCACCTTCTTCCTCCTCTTCACTGACGTGTTCTTCTTCCAACATCTCGTCGGCAGTCACTTCAGGATTTCTGATCACCTCCAGGATGTCGTCGTTGGTGGTCTCGGAGAAGCCTGGAACTGTAACAGTCTGCGCAGCTTCTCTGGCAAGGTCCACTGCTACTGCAACAGTCTGAACCTCACCAGTCACAGATTGACTCCTCCTCTCACCTGGTATTCCATGCAACACATGTCTCCATGCGTGACGAATTGTAGCAATAGACAGCTGATCCCATGACTCCACCAAGATGTCCACAGCTTTCTTGATGTTAAATACTCTCCAGAATTGTTTGAAGAGTATTTTTTGCTGTTCTAACCGTTGTTCCTCATCTTCGTCGCTCTTGCTATCGGTGGTGGTGTCACTCAGGTCACGCAACTCTTCCCTGGTGTTGGTGTAGTCGTTCAGGAGCTGGAATTTTTTTGTTGAGAATGCAGCTTTCACATTGCAAATCAACTCCTGGTCCATGGGCTGGATTAAAGACGTAGTGTTGGGAGGAAGGAAGACCACTTTTACGTTGGGGTGACGATCTAACAGTAGGGGCGAGTGTCCTGGTGCGTTGTCCAGCAGCAACAAAATATTAAATGGGACATTCTGTTGCTCACAGAATTTCTTTACATCGGGAACAAAACAGTCATCAAACCAGGAGAGGGACAGTGTAGAGAACATCCATGCCTTACGTGCTGTCAGCCAGTGGACATTTAGCTTGGTCATGTCCATGCTCTTGTAGGCGTGCGGCTTGCGGGCTGTGTGGATCACCGATAACTTGAGCTTACAGGTACCGGAGGCATTGGTGGTAAACAGGACGGTGATGCGTTCCTTCTGCATTTTCCGGCCCCGAATCCTGCTGGCATTCTTCACAATGTAGGACTTGGAAGGTAGTTTTCTCCAGAAAAGACCAGATTCGTCCATGTTAAACACCTGGTCGTCACTGTACTGTCCTTCCTCCATAATCTCACGTAAAAACGGAGGAAATTCCCGAGCCGCAGCACGATCAGCACTCGCTTCTTCACCACCAATGTTTATATTGGTGATCTTGTTCCGGATCTTAAACCTCTGTAACCACCCAGAGGAAGCATTAAAGGGTTTGGGCTCTGTAATTCCCATCTTTCGTGCCACTGCCATGTACAGTTCACGTGCGTAGTCCTTCACAGAGCGCGTGTCGACCGCCATGTTCCGTCGCGCCTGACGCACCAAGTACCTCACAAGTAATTTTTCTGTCTTGAGAAGCACCTGGTTGTGAAAATACTTGATCATAGAAGCACCTGTAGACTTTGTGATCTTCATGTGCTCCTTTATCTTGGCTGAATCCTTCTTTATAGTCCGGATCGTAGATTCGTTCACGCCATGCTGGCGCGCCAAATCAACCTGCCTTGTTCCTTTCTCCAACTCTTGGATGATGGTATACTTCACCTCGTAGCTTAAGGAACGTCGTGTCTTCTTTGGTTTAGTGCCGCTGGGTCCAGGTAAGGAAAGGTTTTTCTCTGGGGGTGGTGGTCCGGCGGAAGCCATTTTACGGAACAATGGATGCGCGTTTACACGGAGTGGCCTTGAGGGATGAAACTGCCCCGGCTAGGTCAAGCGTCGTCTTTCCTCCCTCCCTCCCTCCCCCTGGGTGGACACGTCATAATACTTTAAGCCAATTACAGCTAGCAGCAGAGGAGGGTAGGGATGCCTGGCCAATCACTGGTCAGATACGTCATATGACGTCAGTGATAACGCAACAAAGACACACTGCGCAACCTTACCGCGCCGCTTGCCCAAGCGGAGGGAGGAGGAGGGAGAGGCAGGCAGGCGGGCAGGCGGGCGGGCGGGTGGCGCGAGGGGAAAATCTAAAAATAGCGTCGCACCGGACACTCTCCGCGTAATGGCGTTCGCGACCGCGGAATGTAAGAATGTTAGGTTCTGGCAAGGCACCGCGTTAACGGTGAAACGCGGTATGCGGGACCGCGTAATAAGAGGACCAACTGTACACTATTCCCTTTATGTGTTTGCCCTTAGGTCCTAAGGCTTAGGACAATTATTTCTTTTACCTGTTTTGTATATGTGTGTGTGTGTGTGTGTAGACACACACAAAACACATACAAATAAATAATAATGGGAAAATCCTCTCGCAAATAATCAGAAACAAATTTATTAAAAACATGACAGTCTACCCTCAAGTCCGTTAAAGCATGGACTTGAGGGTAGACACATTTTTAATCAATCTGTTTCTAATTGTACTGTATATACTGTATGTACACATCCTTGACCACCGGAGGGTCAAGACCTATCAGGCGCTGCTGCTTCCCTTGGCCACGTTCGGCCCCATTCCCCAAGTCCCTCTCCCCGACCCATCCTCACCACCGGAAAATCTACATAATAAAAAATGACAATTTCGTTTCGGAAAGAAGTGGGATCAGTGGTTTTCATTTTCTTTTATCGCAGGATTTCTTTGTAGCACTGCATAGCCGAAAGTACATTTCTGCTCACTTTTGAACTACGATCACTATTTATATCGTCTTCGTCTATAATAGCCAAAGCACAGTCAATTTAAGTGAATGCCTTTGTCAACCGCTTTGCTGTTAGAGTCCGAACAACCTTAGGCTCCTCTTTCTTCTCTGTTTCTTCTTCTTCTTCCCACTGTTTTTCTAAGACAAGCAAATCTTGGGGCGAAAGTTCTTCTTTATGAGAGTCTAATAACTCCTGGACGTCTTTTAACTCCACCTCTTCAAGACCTACTTTCTTTCCCAAACCCACAATGTTTTCTCTGGTTTTACACAGGTTCACTTTCAACACTAAAACCTGTAAAGTCATGCCTCACCAACAAACATTACAGAGTTTCTAATGTTAAAAGATTTCCAGAATTCTTTAACAGTCATTTTACCATCATCAGTAGCCTTCACTAAAGCATCAAATGTTTTGTCGAGATAATAAGCTTTAAACGCACTAATCACTCCTTGATTCAAAGGCAGAATGAGGGATGTCGTGTTCGGTGGAAGATACACAACTCGAATGTCTTCACAAAGATATTGAATTGAAGGTGGATGTACGGGGGCATTATCCACGAGCATTAATATTTTAAGAGAAAGATTCTCGCAGTCACAATATTCACATAACTCATCTTTCAGCTTTGACACAACATAATCACAGAAAAGATTACCAGTAATCAACCCCTTGCTATTTGAAAATAAATGAACTGGTAAGAGATGCTTAGAATAACCCTTGAGAGCACGTGGGTTTGCGGAGTGGTACACCATCACTGGTTTTAATTTGCAGTCACCTTCAGCATTACCTCCAAACAATAAGGTACAGTAAAAGTCCAAAAATCTGGATGCCAGAAATCCGGACCACCCGAGAATCCGGACTTTTAGGAAATTCAAATTTTTTTTTTAGCGGGCTTTTGTGTGTATGTGCGCATGCGTGTGCGCCACAGCTGCACAGCGACAACAAGCGACCACGCGGTCGCCACTTTAAAAAGAGCAATCAAACTGTGACAATGCATGTAATTTTGAGTCCTACTCTTTTCATTTACAGAGTACTGTACTGTACAAGCCCATAATAATGGCTCCTAAAGTAGATAAGCTTCGTTGTGTGAAGAGAAAGAACACATTGAAATTGAGTGACAAACTTGAAATAATTAAGAAACTAGAACATGGTGTGAGCAATACTGTTCTAATGGAAACATACGACATTGGAAAGTCTATAATTTATGATATAAAAGAGGCAAAGAATAAAATTCTAGAATTCACAGCTTTTTCCTTAAAACTGCTCGTTTTGATAAATGACGTATGCTATATTTGCTAATGAATAAACTATCAAAATGTACCTGTTCATCTCTTCTTTATTCCTCCTTAAATTTGAATTTTAAAAGTACTGTACTGCCTGAGAATCCGGAAAATCCAAAAATCCGGACCAACCCAATCCCCAAGCAGTCCGGATTTTTGGACTTCTACTGTATAACGATCCTTAGAAGCCTTAAAGCCTGGTGCTGCTTTTTCCTCGCGAGAGATAAACGTTTGTGTTGGCATTCTCTTCCAAAATAGAGTAGTTTCATCGAGATTGAAAATTTGCTTTGCAGAATAGCCTCCCTCCTCAATAATATCCTTCAGAGTCCAGACGAACTGCTCGGAAGCCAAGACATCGGCAGATGCAGTCTCCCCACTCACCTTGATGTTGTGATACCCGTATCTTCGCTTTAAGTTGCCGAACCAACCAGAACTAGCACTGAATGGTTTCACTGGGCCTTCTTCATCCTTCTGTAGTTCTTCATATATTGCACGCGCTTTTGCCTGGACTAGTAACATGCTGACTGGTATATTGCGGTGATTTTGATCTTCAATCCACATACTACCGGTACGCTTCCTTTCCATGTGCTCCATTATAGAACACCGAACATAAGAGGTTTTCGTTGCACTTGCTGATGTCCCTGAGAGAGCACTGTTCTTTATCTTCTCAGCATTGTCTCGAATGGTACGAACAGTGCTCTCATTTAAACCCAGCACGTGGCCCACATCCGACACACGCTCTCCACTCTGAAGGCAAGTGACCACATCTAATTTGATGTCCATTACGATTGTTTTTCTTGCCTTTTTATGTTTAGGCTCACCAGAGGAGGCAGATGGACGTTTTCCAGACATGCTCGATGGGAAAAACAGTGTTTAACACTAAAAGGTACGTGATAAACTCACAAACAAGTAGTGCTGAAACGAACTGAGAAAGCGGTACGCGGGAAGCTTGCTGTAAACACTAAACAGCTGGACATCGTCACAGTTGTTGTACAGAACTGTATACTCTGTACTTCATTATCATCATCTTCATCATCATTAGTATTAATAATCTTTATTATTACATTATTATAATAATGATTATCATTTTTAATAATAATTACTGTATATTAAAATTGTTGATGTTGCTATGACTGTGACTTTACAGTAATACTAACAAGCACCTCACCAGCCATCACACGTGCCTCCACTGCCAGGCAAATGCGCAGCAAATTTAAACCGCGTTATTTAAAACACAGTTGGGTGTAAATTAGGAACTGGTATTAATTGAAGAAATGTGTTATTCCAAAAACGCTTAAATCAAATGCGTGTAAAACAAGAAGTGGGTGTACAGGTAAAGGAAATTACTGTCTCTAGAACGAATGGCTCCCTGTCTCAGCCGCAAAAATGCCGGCAACTTTAAACTACCCACAGACATTCTTGGGTACATCCAGAGTGTCATCCACGAATAATAGAGGACCGCGAAATAAAAATCCGTAAATTTGGGGGGCCACCTGTATGATATAAAAGTATTAAATAACAAAAATGAAGAGCATGGGTGTGTATATGTGGGATATGAACTATACTGACTTGCCAACTCAGCTGTTGCATTTATTGTTACATGGAATAAAAATACTGTATATAAGTTGTGGAACAACCATTTCAATACTCTAATGTCGCTTATAAATGAAGAAAATATAATATAAAACTATAAAATAAGAAAACTGAAGAGTCATAGATGTGTATTTGTGGGAACTAAACACATACATGTGTGTGTGTGTGAGGAGGTGGTGTGCTGGAAATGTGGCCATGTTCCCTTCCCCATGATGTGACGTCATGGCATACACACAGCACGACATGGCAGCCACACTTCTATAAGTCAGCTGGTTGACTGCCTTGTTGAAATGTCACATACCCCCAAGATGGTGCACAGTGCCACGTAATGCTGTACCACAAAATTCACCAATTTAAAGAAAATGCAAGTTAAAAAAGTATACCAAGAAAACACAGCTTCACCCAGTGAAATAATAAATCGGAAAAAAAATATTGTTCGGTACTTATCTTACGTTACAAGATCTTCAAAGCTTGAGGGATGGGAGGGAGGATGAGATAATTACAGTGTGTGTTCTGAAGACCTTCTTTCTTCAGGGTCATTATCAGAACTAAGCCTAGACTCCTCTTCATCAGAAGCAGTGGCAGAAGTGGAGGAATGAGGAGCATAACTCAGGAGAACCAAGCATAACTGAGGTGGATGACTGAGGAGCTGAAGTGAATCTAGCATGCTTTTCTCCCACTTTTTTTAAACAAAGTTCTGATGTCTGTCTGCTTATAAGCCCTTTGCTTTTGATGCAAAAAAAGGTTTTGCATAAATGCATCTGTAACACACATTGTGCAGAAAAAAGGGTTGTTGTTCAGCAAAGATAATGGTTTCAAATCCTGCTATAGCATTGGCTCACGTGACTTTTTTATCTGGGTCAACCTCATCACTTTCCTCCTCAGTAACAGCACCATATCTATTATTTCATCATTATTCAATGTGAAACACACTGGCACATCATTATCAACTTCAATCCACTTACTTATTTCACTTCCTGACATTTCTATTTTACCTTTGGCCAAAATAACCAATTCACTTATGTCACTTAAAAGTTCATCTTGTTTCCTCTTCCTACACACAAACCCTACAAATTCATCGTCTTTTTCAGAATCTTCGAACACCACTTGAGGCCACAACTTCTCCCAATACTTGCGTAATGTTTCACTTTTCACTGAATTCCATGCACAAGACACATCAAATATTGCATTTTTAAAATTATACTTCTTCTGAAAGTCCTGTATTTTTCCATCAAAACTGCTTAGCTTTTGCATGAAATTATGCTTACATAGCATTTTCATGTACTGGATTTCCCTCTGATCCATAGGCAGCATCACAGTCACCATTTGCATATACATCTGTACTCCCTATTCACCGTAGCAACATAGATTCTCTAGCAATGCCCCCCCTTAACCAACTGCCTGGCTGTCCTCCCGCTCCTCCAATGAACCAGCTAACTCGTGTGCATTTATAGATTGTAATGCTTATAAGAGTTCAGAAATGGTTACTGCTTAGCTACCTCTGAAGAGTTGGGTGTCTGCCGTACGGACATTAATCATTTCAGGTTATCATCATCAGTAAGGTAGTTATAAATCAAGCTTTTATATTTACAATAATTATTTTTTAATTAATAAAAAATAATAATAATGAGTTTAAGTAACCAATATCATATTTTTAATTCTGGGGTTGGGTTAGGTAGAATTTATCCAAGTGGAGACAGCAACTGGAGGATTCATTAGCTTACTTCACATATAGGACGTGTTTTAGCTGTGATAGGATATCAAACTATCTCGCTTGTTAACACTTGCATGAATGAGTGTAGGTTCATCGCTGGTACCTTTGATACAGCTGAGTGAGGTATCAGGTCATTTCACAGCACGTCACCTTTGATACAGTCGTAGATTGGTTGATAGTTGAAATTGTCACAGCTGTCCTGGGTTGTACTTGTAATTTTCTTAGCTTGTAGGTAAAACAAGACACACACAGATAATATTCTCTTCACTTGTTGTTCCTTGGTTTAATGTAAACACACGTGGTGATTTTCTAGTTATATTGGGTAGTAATGTCTGTATAATTATTTGGTATTGACAGACTAATGAGCATTCGCTATTAGCTTGTAATTAGCTGACATATTTAGAGAGGGGTACAACCTGGAGAGATGGTCTCATGACACGACTTTAGGGCATCGTGTCAGGCTGTGAACTGGGCTGAACTCTCTTGAGTCTGGTGACTGGTGGTTGGAGAGTAACCCCACTTCAACATGGCCATTAACTAAACAGCCTACCACACACTAAGGGTTGAGTCTGTAGTTTTATGGGCTGTACACCCGAGAAGGTGTGAAAGAACAAATATTTATGGGCTGTCCACCCTAGGAGGTGTGAAAGAACAAATGCTTATGTAGTTGTATGTGCCATTGTCTGGGTGATAGAATGTATTGCAGTGGATACTCTCCCCTACAACTGCCACTGACATTAGTCGCTGATCAGCCGATCCCACGACGAAGTTTCTCTGACAAGCCTAGCTGTTTAGACTCGCGGTGGGGTTCTCTGACAAGCCTTGTCATCTAGACTCGCGAGGGGGGGGTAGACACCGGCGACGCTTACTTCCGATGGCCGTGTATATAAACTCCCAGTCTCGCCGTGAAGTCCATTCTACCTAGAGCTCTGCAACACGCAACACCTCCTCTAAAGAAGCTCCGGCACAGCAACTCCTCTACCACGCAGCAACTTCCCAGCACCAGACTGTTTTGTATATAATATATTTATATAAGAAAACCGCCATTAAGAGTTTCCCCTTTCCAACCCATCCTGAGAGCGAGACATCATAATGTTAACACTACAGTATATAATGAATATATGTCATTAGCTCATATTTATATAATATTAATGTGACAGGCTAATACAGACACAGGCTGATCTTTTTTAGCCATTTTTCAGACAAAAAAAAGTCTTATATGCCATAAAATACAGTAATTTTGAAAAATTGTACAAGTGAATTTTCGTATCTCGAACGTTCATATAGCAAGGGATACCTGTACAGTACACATATTATTTTCCCTCATTTACATGTACGTACACACAATCCTACATAAATAAAGTGCTTGGGACACTGCCGAGTTGCTAAGGTGAGCATCAGTAGAGACTGTAACACAGTTTATACACTAACTTATGCTGTATTAATTTCATTCTTTTTTATGCTTTCATTATTGCTATTTAAATACTTTTGTTAACGCTGTTTATATGCCTACAGTTTTAAATTGTAATGTTACAGTACAGTACTCATCAGTTAAAGCTACTTTAAGGGGTGAATCTAGTGATCTGAACAGAGGCTTCACAACAAGTTACATAGGTTTTATTGTACCTTTAGTACAGTGGGGTATACTATAACGAATCTAATTGGTTCTAGAACCTTTTTCGTTATAGCATTCGTTCGTTATAGGATTAATCCGTTCCAGGCCCCCAAATACAACCACTTAACACTGAAAAATATAATATAAAATTGTAAAAAAGTGCATAAATATGCATCTAAACCCCTGAAATAAAGATTATCATTAATACTTGTAATAAAAAACAACAACAAATTAGTAATAAAAAAAAAAAATTGCTGTAGGAGTTTCGTTCGTTATAGCATTCTCAATTTTATAGGTAAAACCGTTCGTTATAGGAATATTCATAGTAGAATCCATTCGTTATAGCATACCCCAGGCCTGGTACTTCAAATTCCAGAAAAAAAACTTTATCCAGTAACCCCCACATCCCAAGCATGCTGGATAAATGGTCCCATACCTTTATACCTGTATATGTAATTTAAACATCATCTGATGAATGAAATCTTTACAAGAATCATGTCAAAATGAAATATTACTGCAAGAAAATTACATAAAAACCTCAGTATAAAATACAAGTACCTCAGCTTATGCTATTACATATCATGTTCAAATACTGTAGTGCATCTATCTTTTAATCAATTATCTGTATTTTCAATTCCTTTTATTCAGCACATTACTCATGCTGATACTTTCTGACTCCATATTTTTGTATCAAATAAAAAATGACCATTACACAGGTTCCTGTTTATTGAATATAGTACAGTAATCATTTAGGGTTCTCATTAAAATTCAATTTTCTTTCTGTAATGCAGTTTCTTGGTCATTGACCTCTTGCTCAACTTCCCTTAAGGGGCTTGTTGAGTCTAAAGTAGGTGGTGGTTCACATTCTGGAAGCACCACAGGAAATAAATCACCCCAAGATGTGTTCTTGCTCAGTCTATAACATCCCTTACCATGTCTTTGTTTAGTCACTGTCAATTCCTGAAGTGTACCATATTTTGTACATACACGACATATAACATGTTTCTTACGATGCAAAGGACTACGCACCAAACGGGGCCACTGCTGCTCAGTACTGTCACTCCGTTTTCCCTGTTTTAATACTACATAACTGAATCTGTCTTTTTGAGTATTGGTCTTCCTCCCAAAAGTAAATGGCTGATAATTCACTTCAAAGTTACATGGAGTGTTGCTGCCATCAAAGAATCGTGGACAAAACATATCATGTGCACAGGGTGAGAAGACATAACCATGTGGATTTGCTTCTTCTTCCTCAGATGCTCTTCTACTCAATTCAAGTATATAATCTCGTGCCTCTAGTACTAGCCTATATCCTTCATTTGTCCCTGGCTCTACAATTATCAGGTAACCAGCAGTTTTACGCCAAAGTATATCAATTGTACGAAGTCTAGAAGCCATGTCTGGTAATTCAAATAGTGAGCGGGAACACAGTACAATGTCATATTTAAGAACATCAGACATGGGTAAAAACTGTTTAAAGAAGGTTCCCCCAGCCCGCACAGTGCGAGGACTATCAGGGTCTCCACCTCGTAACAACTTATCTGCAAGATTATTCATTTCTGAACTGCAATCAACACAGACTGCTTCTTTACAAATACCAGGCCAAATGTTGTCCACTGCCCTGTTAATAAAAAATTCATTAGAACACTGGATATTTTATCTAGATAAATAGAAAAGATTTTGTTATCAGAATTTATCAAAATTTGAAGATATATCTTGTATATACAGCTAGACCCCGACTTACAACTGCTTGGACTTACGACCGCCGCAGTTGTGACCATTTTTTTTTTCAAATGACACGCATTTTCTATACCGAAACGTTTCCAGTTAATGTAGTCTCCATGTATAATTAGAAAATTATGGGGGCCCCATGTGCATTCAGCTGACTACATTAAAGGTAAGTGCTGTCACACTGTATCCATTCCTCATTATTTATTACTTTCACTGTACTGTATCCATTCCTCATTATTTATTACTTTTACTGTACTGTATTTCATTGTAGATTTTTTATTAAAAAAAAAAAAATTGATTTTTTTTCCATCTATGTCGGACTTACGACCATTCGGACTTACGACCTGGATTTGGGTCCCTAACCCCGTCGTAAGTCGGGGTCTAGCTGTAATATGGTATGAAATAAAGTTTTGCACAAGCAATTTGCACAAAATTAGTTATAGAAAAAAAATGCATTACTGTAGTAGCTAAATCTTAAGGGCCAAACCCCTGTAAAATTATGATGTAATACTGTACTGTACAGTAATCTCCCTTTTAGCCGGCATCTTCGAACCATGGGACATGTGAATCTTCTCAAGAGTTCACAACTCAACATGAGGCCTCACTTTGTCAAGGAGAAAACCACTGAATCCAGATTTTAATTTAGATTTAATTATATGAGGTTATTTTTAGTACCTGTATAAACAATATCAACAGAGACTGTGCCCAGCTGATATGCGATATGCCAAGACATTGGTTTGGTATTATCTGGGGAATATTTGATGGTGGATATCTCACAGGTCACTTACATAATTTAAAAGTTAAACAAATTTAACTTCTGAAATCAACATAACCATAATGAACACTGTACAAATGTGATATACTGTACTCACCACATGCCAGAGCCAATCCCCGATCCAAAGTCCAGCATAGTGTGGGGAGAAAACTGTGTATCCCGTTTCTTTATCTCTCTTAGTATTCTCACTAACGAAGCAAAGTCTGGGGCCAAGCGAGCAACAACATATGCAGCTGACCTGTAACAGTAATAATATTAGTTTCCTTGTTGGTCTGATAGCTATCCAGTAGACAAATGTGAATATAAATAGTGCAGTGTACTTAATTGATACAAATGGAGGAATAGATTCCATAAAGAATGAAAACATAAACGGGTTTGCGGTTCGCGGTAAGCAGATGGTGGCTAGCTTACGAGTCTCTCCCACAGCGTAACAAGTCACCCCCATGCGCCTGCAGCATCTCCTCTCCTTTTGTTTGCGCTCAACCATTGCCTGCGATCCAGCATCTCTTGTGTTGAACTCAAAACTTCAGTGTTTCTGCTAGTGATGCTAGTGGAGTGAAACGTTTAAGAGACCTCAAAGTCAAGAGGAAACAACTACCAATCACAATGTTTTTCAAGAAAGACCCAGCCCCTCACCCAGCTGATTCGTCTCCTTCACCTACTTGGTCAGCTGCTGCCACCGCTCTACCTCCTTGCCATCCCACCACCCACCTCCCCTCCACCAACCACCACTGCATCACCCTATTCCAACAGTGATCCTGATGATCTCCCTATGCTTCAGTAACCCAACTTCAGCCTACTGTACAGTACACTTCATCAAGCTCCAAACTTCCACATACAAAGGAGAGTAGTATTGGTGACATATGTTTCTCATACACTGTACAGTACAGGAAAGCCTCCAATAACGACGGTTCTACTAACGACAAATCATATTTAAGACCCTGGTTAATTTAGGACCCAATTCAATTTACGCCATTATTTTCTTCGTATTTACGACAAAACTTGTGAGTGGCGACGCCAGCATCACTAGTATAAACAGTCGCAGCTGGCAGACTCTTTATTTTCAAGCACCTGAACAGGAAAAGGAGAAAAACTTTCTCAGGTTTCTTATGGCATTTTTGCATCCCTATTCACCATGAGCAAGAGAGCACGTGATGGTAGTGCTGGTTCAAAAGCGAAATTAAGTATATAAGCTTAGCAGAGAAACTAGATGTGTTAGAACAATATACAAAAAGTGAGAGATGTCTGTGGATATTATATGGCGCAAGCAATGAACATATTTTCTTAAGTGGATCCATTAACAGAACAAAGCATTAAAATTAACAGGGACATGAAAAACCCAAATGACGTCTACATTAAGATGTACAGTACAGTATAATGAGAAAAGAAAGCAGCTGTGCAAGGTTCTTTCGACAGCTTTATTATTCGAAGGCCTAAACCATCAACTTCAGCTACACCATCAAATTCAGCATCAAAAGCAGCTTCATCAACAACTTCAGGTTCAGTAACAGTTTCAGCAACAGCTTTATGGAAAGCTACAGCTTCAGCCAGAATTGAACCTGATGACTTTGTCATCTAAGTAAAAACTCACACATCATCATTGGCTGTCCTATGTTTTAGACTTTACAGTACCACCATTGGGTGACCATTCTAATCCCTTTAACTATCGCCCCGTTGCTCTAACTTCATCCCTCTCTAAGATTTTCGAAACTATCTTGAACTCCCATTTTCTCCGTCACCTTGAACATCATTCTCTTTTGTCGGATCACCGGTATGGCTTTCACCAGGCGAGATCTACTGGTGATCTGCTCTCCTACTGCACCCATCTTTGGTCATCCTCTCTTAGGGATTATGGGAAAACATTCGTCGTGGCTCTTGACAGCTCCAAAGCATGTGACAGGGTATGGCACAAGTTTTTGCTTTCTAAACTTTCCTCTTCTGGTTTCTCTCCCCCACTTTGTTTTCTAATCTCTAGCTTCCTTGAGAACCGATCCATGGCAGTTGTTGTTGAGGGATCGATCTCTCGCACTTTCTCTACCAATAGTAGTGGTGTCCCACGGGGTTCTGTTCTTCTTTTCACCAATGATTTACTTCACACTACAACTAATTCTATCCATTCTTATGCTGATGATTCTACTCTTCACTCTTCTTCACATTTTCCCCTTTCTCCTAACTCTTAAACTAGATATGTTTCTAGAGCTGATATCATTACATCTATCAATGCGGATATGTGCAGCACCTCCGAATGAGGAGGTAGAAACTTGGTTAAATTCAATAGTAATAAAACTCAGTATTTTCCAATTACACTTTAAAATTTAGATGATCTCCCACCAATTACATTTCAAGACGCTATCATTCTGCCAAATTCTAAAATAGATATGCTAGACCTCACCATTTCATCTAATTTCATCTAATATGTCATGGAAGCCACACATCCTCAACATTGCTAAAGCTGCCTCCCGAAAGTTGGGAATGCTGTACAGATGCCATAGCTACTTCACTAATGAGCAGTTACTTCAAGTATATAAGGGATTCATTCATCCTAACTTGGAGTACTGCTCTCATATCTGGGGTGGCTCTTCTTCTGTCCAACTGTTAGATAGGGTGTAATCTAAGGCATTTCGTCTTATTAACTCTCCTCCTTTAGTTGACAATCTTTCTTCCCTTTCTCTTCGCCACAATGTTGCTTCACTCTCTCTCTTTTATAGGTACTTTAACGGGCAATGCTCGGTGGATTTGGCATCCTGTGTACCACAGGGAAGACCGTGGGCTCGTAACACACGTCTTGCCCGCGGTGCCCACCGTTTCTCTGTGGATGTCGGTCACACTAGAATAACTCGTTATAGTGCATCCTTCTTTCCTCACAGAGCCAAACTGTGGAATACTCTGCCTTCTGTGTTTCCATACTCATACAATCTGTCTCACTTAAAAAGCTGGTTTTCTGGCATCTTCATGGTGTAGATTAATATAACCTTTTTCTTTTCTATTTTTAATTTCTTTCTATTCTTATTTACCCCCCCCCCTCCCCCCAGGCCCCGTTGTGGGTCGTTCGACCTGTGCCCGGGTGGGTTAATTCCCATGTTAAAAAAAAAAAATGTATCAGCAGGATATTGGCCTTTGTAAATAATGTTCTTACACATCATGTCAGTGCAAAAAGAAGGTCAATGTCATTATTATTATTAATGAATAAATATATACACAAGTTGCAAACTACACATTTTGTTTACTGAAACCAACATCAATCCAACAGAAACATAGTAAAGTTAACTTATTTAGCCATATTTTCCAAGTTCATTAACTAATTATTTTCCCTTATTTATCCCTATACAATTTTTTATCTGAATATTAGTCGTTGCATCATGACTCAGAATTAATTAAAGAAAGAACCTCTATTAATCCCTTCCTGGTGCATAGTTAATGGGATGTCAGGTCTGGAGTGAGGCAACAGTGAATTGGCTACACAGTTGTAAGACAGGGTATCTCACACTTGGTGAAAAAATGGATCAACAATTCAATTACTCTCAGTGAATAATCAATCCAGAATTAACTGGTCAGATCCTCTGGTGGGTTTCCTAATGACCTACTAACATTCACTTGAATACATAATAAATTCCTGAACAAGACAACACGCCGTTCCCCCCCCCCCCATCCCCCTCTCAGTGGGATAACTGCCGAGCACGTAAGAGATGTTTACGGTATGATCTTTATGTTTTTGGTCTTATGATAATTAATTTGTTTATTTTTTTTTACATACAGTAGGTCTACCCTAAATTACGAGCTGAATAATAACATAGCTCATTGCCGAGTGTTACTGGGTGGCAACTTGACAACTTAATTACATGCCTTCTCCATGGATATTATTCCTCATTATCCCTCGTTTAGTATATAATTTCTCATTATCCCTTGTTGGCAAATATTTCGCTAAAAATCGTTTTTAAGGAATGCATCCCAACTGTTAAACAAGGGACACCTGTACAGTATAGTCACTGATACAATTTTGCTAATGGTAAAATCCAATGGACTTACCCACATATGTCAATCAATGTCTGTGAACCAACTGCTTGAATAATTAATCACAACTCCTTGAATTGCCTATGTATTACCATCAATATTCTACAGCCATTATCCATATTTGCATGGGTTAGCCATTTGTCATCAGGCATGTTGTAGCAAATACTGTACTGTATAAAGAATCTGTAATGGATACTCATTACTGCAGCTCACACTAATCTAAATTGTTAAACATAGCAAATATATCCTTACTTGTGTTCATCGTACTGGATGGCGCTCCACAAATATGTTTCTTTCTTCATTTTATCAAGTACTTTAGAACTCCTAGAGTCTAATAATCGCTTTCTATCCACCTCCAATATGTTGGGAGCCATCGGGTCAACAGTTTCTGCAAATAACAGAACAGTGTTTATAAAAACTTAATCAACATTTCAGGAGGATGGTAAAAAGTATCCTGTACATACAGGATACAGCTACAGTATCAAATGCAATTAAATGAATTTCAAGGCCAATGTTTTGCAGGCCTTTTCCATGCATGTGTGGGTTACTGTGATTACCTGATGGCAGCTCTCTATGCTGTGTACTCTCTTGTAGCCTCTCTCATTAGGTTCTTGTCTCTGAGGTCATTTCTTACAACCTCTCCCCAAGTCATTTTTCACTTATCCCAAGCTCTCCTTCCCTTCACATTTAAACTCAATTATCTTTAAAACCAATTGGTCTCCACATGCCCACACCAATTCTGCCTACTTTTGTGCGAAAATTTGCCAATACAGGTAAGAGACCAAATGATCAGTTCATAAGAAAGTTGTTTGTAACCCAAAAGCCTCAAAACCCCAATTTTGCTAAGATTTCACCAACAATAAGAGATATGCACATGCCTTTGACTTTCATATCTTAGTTGCCAGTGAATAAGATTTTTTTTCATAATAAATGCCTCCAAAATCCACCGAATATATAAGAACTGAAATGGTTGGTTGGCTGTATGAACAAGTAGATCCTTTTAAAAATAGTATTACCAGTACAGTTAACCCTCACTTTACGCGGTTAATGTAACCCGGAGGGTACCGCGGAAAGTGAGGAACGCGTAAAGTGAACAACATAACATAGGGGATTAATTGAAATGGAGTCCAGGCCGATCCCCAAACTCCACTTTTTGACGACACACAACTATGTTGTAGTAAAAATATTATCTTAACTTTATGATGGCATGCACACACAATTAATAATTAAGAGAAATATCAATAATATTAGGTTTTTTAACACTTACATTAGTAGAAAAGATGGCTGGGCACACGGGGATGGGCGGTTGGTTCCGAGGCAGAGGGCAGATTATTGGCCCTCACCTGTATCACTTGTATCAATTGTATCACTATCCACCACAGAGGCTTGCAGGGCCTCTTTGTCAAACCCCCCAAAGTTCATATAAGTCCATATCCTCACTATAATTATCACTATCACTGACTTGGGCCGGCTGTAGTGGGTGGCGGGTGAAGAACTGGTAATGTTTTGATGACTGGGCGACCTTGTGCGCACCATTTTCGCGCCTCTTACACAACATGGCGGATGGCGGGAGGTTTGGATCCAAAAATGGCGCGGCTTGCCAGCCGCTCTCCGCGTAATGGGGTACACGCACCGCGGACTGTGAGCATGTTAGGTTCCGGCAGGGCACCGCGTTAACGGTGAACCGCGGAATGCGGGACCGCGTAATGTGAGGGTTGACTGTATTCTAAATACAGACGGAGCCCACAAATTCATGTCTCAATCGACCATTTTTTTTAAATCTGTGAATCGTTTTGAGAGATCCCAAGTTACTGAGTTCTGCCAGTTTGTGCTCATTTTTTAATACAACATTACCTCTGTATACTGAAATAATTGGTGAGCAGCCAGTTCAGTATTAGGAGTTTTTTAGCATTAAGCAAATCCAAAAATTCATTCCATACCAAAGTTTGATAAAACAAGACAAAAAACATCAAACAGCATCTGTATGAGTTTATCTTGTGTGAGTTAAGGTAAATATTTTGTTAATTTCAATAATATCTGAGATAGGAGAATAAGTCCAAGTCCGACTTAGGATCGAAAGATAAAAAAATACTTAGAAAACTAATGGAATCCAACAAGATTGCATCACCATAGTTGTTTAATTTGTTCAGCAAATAAAAATTAAATCTGCAACTCAAAATATAACACATCACCAGTCAGCTGTGTCCTCTGAGATAGCTACACATGTTGCCATTTTTACTTATAGTGATAAGTTTTGAAGCCCTTTCTTTTCTAGGAGATTTCTGACATTAGAAAGTACAAATCCAAATGTTCAAAAAGTTCTTTCAACCCCTGCTGATGATGCAACTGCTGTAAATAATTGTCTAGAAACATTCATTACATTATTATCTGGTAAATCATGAGAAAATACTGTCAACAAGCAAGAGGCGAGACAGAAAGGAAAGACGGAATACAGTATTGGTACAGTACAATGTATAACGAGGACCACCTACTACATCCTAAATACTGTACTGTACTGTAGTTGTATAATATCCACTGCAGCTATACTACTGCAAAGAATCTCAAGAGAAAAACATATATTTCAATTATTGGTAAAAAATTAATATAATTTAAATCATGATACAGTATTTTTTTCCGATTTAAATTTATTTCAATCATAATAACCAAGACTGTGATACACTTTTTTATACTTATTTTTTTACCCATTATGTCTGGAAGAATATCTATAAGCAGCCAAGGGGAGGCATCAACATGGATATATAAATGTAGGTCAAAAGAAGTGTGGAGCATCAGGTTGATATTGGATTTAGCTTGGGTTTGGCTAGGTCAATCATTAGAACCTTTCTCAAGAATGCAGACAAGATAAAGCCTTTTGTCCAATCTAAAACTTTGTTTACAAAAACCAAGAAGCCTTTAGTTTCCCAGAAGGATGAGCTACAGCCTGTCCTATACAGTACTTCTGTCAGTAGCTCCTCCCATCTTGCTCATCACCACTGCCAGTTAAGTGAAGCGCCAACCAAATTACAAACTTCTATGTCATTATGATAAAAAATTTATTCTGTAACTTACAAAATGTTTTAATACATTTAGCTATCATATGCAGTTGTATTATTGCTACTGTCACTATTGACACTATGTTGTAATATAATAGTGACCACTTACAGAGACACTGTATTTGTTTGAATGATAAACTTTCCAGGATTACATCAAGAATGCTATTAGAGTTACCTGTACAGCACTCCCTTATTGATTGAGCTGCCAGAATTGGAGTATTGGAAATCCATGAGTAAATTACATGCCTTTTGATTCAATGTCTCTATAACAAGTTTAATAGAGAAGACCTTCACAACTCTTGTTTACCTTTACTCTTGATAAATGCTTCCACTTGTGCCATTTTGTCCTTGTACTCATGAGCCTCTAGTGATGCATGTCTGGACCATAGACAATGTGATAATTTGGTCGCTTCTTTTGCCAGGTTCTTCACAGAATAATCTGCAATACAGAAGACTCAGTGAATAGAATGAAGTGTACAAATTACTCTACCAATGTCTTTAATATCTTCACATCATGTAAAGTACCTATTATACCTCATACAATTTATTCATTCACATGAACAATTATAAACTGGGAATTGATCAGAAATTCCGAGTATACTGTATTGTCAAGCACAGACTGAGTCACTCCAATTACAGTACTAAGCCTATAGGGTAGAAAATAGTCCAGCAGCCAAGTGGGTATGTTTTACTTAACCTTGTAAAATACCTCCAAACCAGCTATTGTTGCTTCTAATAGGGGAAGCTGTGTACAAGGAGATTCTAAATGATGCCCAGCTAGCATCCTTAAGCATTTAGAGATACTGTATCTACATACAGGGGGATGCAAAATTCGCACTAAATGCGGGGATCCCAGGAACGTAACCCTTGCATACTCTGAGACCCCACTGTATATGCTTAGCCAATTTATACTACCAACAAAGCATAATACAGTATAAGATGACAATCAAATACTATAGTATGTTTTCAATTGACTGCTTACCTTGGGTTCTGTTTGGCCTGAGAACACACCCCCTAATTTAAAATGTGTTTGATGGCTGTGAAAGACGGAGGCCATCCTAACAGCAATATACACTACATAAATTTTCCAGTGCTGTGTGACACCAGTCTGAGAGGAAAGGGTTGCAATCAAGTAGAGGTCTGCCAATTATGTTGTTCTGGTGCTTAGAGATTGATGACTGCACTGGGCATGAGGGCGTGATTGAAAGACGTCAGTATGCTGTCATAAGGTGTGACAGTGCCTTAATATGCCACCTAGATTTCTCCATCTATAATTTTCCTGCCCCTTCATTACCTTTCTCCCCACCCTATTTCACAGTCTCCTTATCTCCCCAATCTTACCTCACTCCGTTCTGCTTTCTAGTCAAACTTCTCTCTGCCACCCCCGCCCCTCTTACCAAGACAGATTACCGGGTAATCCCTTACAAACACTGCATACAGTACTTGGTTCAATTTATTTGGGGAACTGTGTTAATATGCAATACTGTATAGTTACTCTTACAAAAGACATGGTACATATTTAAACTAACTTAGTACAGTATACTGTACACTTTACATATCTGGTCATTAATTGAAAGAAAAATAAATGTTTATGGCAGATCCTCACAAACTTACCTGTAAGGATTGTGTTAACAGCTTGAATGAGATCATCAGGCAGGGTAACTGTGCCTCCACCAAAAACTCCTGGGTGATGGCGGGCCTTCAGAGATCCTGTCTTTATTTCCTCAGATAAGTCTGCATCAAGTTTGAAGTTAAATTTTGGTCTCAACTTGGAATCTGTTGAACAAGACTGCAGATTTTTTTTATTTTAAAATATATAATTTCTGAAATACATACCAGTATAACAGATTTATTATTTACTTGGAATAATATTAAAAGAGGAATGAATAAATATTAGCTTCAATATCTAATTCAAAATCTGTAAATGACAAAGGAGAGCTGTTAACACTGTGCAAGTGAGCTAGTACCCCAAATTTGACCAACACTTAACCACTTTGTGAAAAAATTGATGTTACTCAATAACTATAAAAAATTAAAAGACCAAACTTAAACCAAAAGCTGGAGGAGTAACCCTGTGATCTCGTTTTTCTAGTTAAGTCCAGAGTCACGCAGCTCCTCATAATACAGTCAAGCAGTTATACATCTTAATACAATGGCGTCCAGAGCCCTTATATGCAAAACTTTCATGCAAATGACATAATAGTACTATTAGCTAGCAGTAAAATTTAAAAGTTATACACAAAGCTTAACTAGCAAACTTTTACCGCACAAATAATTGTTTGTTAAGTACCGCTAAACAGCGCTGAGGATAGCAGGAGTTCATCATATAAAATGGTCTTATGGCTGAATAACCTAAATAAAATTATGAAGATTAATTTCAATATTTAAATTTATATACATTTTGATCATTAAAATAAAATGAAATCTAATCTATGCGGTTTGAAGGAGGATTTATTAACCAAAGATAGTGATCGGTGACTTTTCCTTGCCGTGCTGTTTGTAAACAAACATACAGTATTGTTGAGGAAATGGAAGTTTCAACCCCACGAAAGAAAAGGAAGCCCAGTTGGACAGCAGACCATACTTTATTATTGGTGGATGCCATAGAAATGAAAAAGTTAATATTGAATGGCCACTTGAAGGTTTTCCTGAATAATAAAGACAAAAAGAGGGGGTTATTTTTTGTTATCAACCCATCACCTTTTACAATTTTTTTTCTTACCGTTTAGTAGATCTCACCGAGTAACGAAAGAATATTCTTAAATTAAGTGGCGCATTCCAAAAATAAATGCGATATTCACGATTTATTAGTCGGAAAAATATATTTTTCATGTGAAAATAGGTGATGGGTGGTTAACGAAAAATAACCAAAGAGGGCCTGGCTGGAAATCACCATGAGAGTCATTGCTGTGTTTCCTGGTGTGGTAAGGTCAGTGACAGAGTGTGAGACACACTGGTTCTCAGATATAGTCCAAGTCAAGAAAGAATTTCTCTGCTATAAAGAGGGAATACAGTGGGGCATGCTATAACGAACGGATCCTTCTACGAATATTCCTATAACGAACGGTTTTACCTATAAAATTGAGAATGCTATAACGAACGAAACTCCTACAACGAACATAATTTAATTTTTTTTTTTCTAATTTATTGTTTTATTATTACAAATATTAATGATATTCTTTATTTCAGGGGTTTAGATGCATATTTATGCACTTTTTAACAATTTTTACAATTTTATATTATATTTTTCAGTGTTAAGTGGTTGTATTTGGGGGCCTGGAACGGATTAATCCTATAACAAACGAATCCTATAACGAACAAGGTTCTAGAACCAATTAGATTCGTTATAGCATACCCCACTGTACACACAATATATTCACACTATACTGGACCCCCTTTCTGATGGGAGGCTTTACCCTGGATGACCAAAACTGTAATAATACCCAAAGCCCTGCCCACTTTGAACAACTAATATTGTTGGTAATTTTATCGGTTCTTAAAATACTCAAAAAATATAAATCTCCGACGGAAACGTTATGGAATAAAAAAATTTTTCACCCAATATAAGACTTCTAAATATTAATCTTTTAATGGTAATGATGCAGTTTACAGCAACCACAGAATTCACTTCACTCAATCGATAGAACTATTTTTTTCTATGATCATTTTCTTATATTACACTTGTTGCAAATTGATAAAAAGGAAGTTATTGAATTTTAAAAAGAATTAAACCAGAGCACCTGTTGCCCCTACCCTGTTGCTCAAATTGAGTGTTGTTCGTACGTTCACTTACCTTCCGCGAATGTGCCGCCAATCAAATGGAAGTGGCCGCAACCAATCAAATCTAGGGCGGAGGCTGCAGCCAATCAAATCCGATAAAAAATCTTAACTTTTGATTCAACCAATTAGCGTTCAATATTCAGCATGGGTGCTAGGATGCGGGACATTTTTAATGAGTTGCAACACGGAGCCATAATGTGCTGGGTGCGATTTCGATAACTGGAAGTTTATCGTATTATTTAATTCTAAAAATAAGGAAACTTTAGAAAACAGAGGAAGCCACGACATATTCTGGTCCCTGACTCAGATTCTGACCCAGACTTGTGGAGGCTGACCACGCGACTCTAGGGTTATTACATAGTGCTTGGGGGTCCGGTGGCGGAGCCCCCGGCTAGGTTGTTAGGTAAGGTTTAGTTTGGTTATATGGTATAAGTTAGCAAGCACAGAGTACTGGGAATTCAGAACACGCAATCAATAAAACTATTGAGGGGGAGGGGGGAGCTAAATCACAAATGAGTGATTTCCGACAAAAAACGAAGGTCAGACTTTAATTAATCGCATCAAAACCCAACAGAAAACCAATTTTTTTCTTAAACTTCCATTGTTGCTGTAATGTACACATTTACCCTTTTAATATCCCAAATTATAGGCTAAGATTATATTTCATGTACACCAACTGTTTTACACCGTCAACCGGTCCGACTAATTACCCAAATGTAGCAAAATGTAGCCGCAATGAAGTCAAATAATGGTCCTACATGAATAAATCGGACTGCTAATCACTTCTCGACTAGTATTTGGTGTCACAAAGTAAAAAAAAATTGGAAAACTTACTTTAATCTGAGTTAATAGATCGCGTGCATGTACCGAGGGAGCGAGTAATTACCCAAATGTAGCCGCAATGAAGTCAAATGATGGTCGTACAAGCGTAAATTGGGCTGTGAGTCACTTCTCGATTATTATTTGGTGTCATAAAGTCACAAAAAATTGGTAAACTTAATTTAATCTGAGTTGTGTTGTGTTAGGTTAGGTTAGGTTAGGTACATGCACTTGATCTATTAACTCAGATTAAATTAAGTTTACCAATTTTTTGTGACTTCATGACACCAAATACTAGTCGAGGTTAGGTTAGGTTAGGTAGATGCACTCGATCTATTAACTCAGATTAAATTAAGTTTACCAATTTTTTGTGACTTCATGACACCAAATACTAGTCGAGGTTAGGTTAGGTTAGGTAGATGCACTCGATCTATTAACTCAGATTAAATTAAGTTTACCAATTTTTTGTGGCTTCGTGACACCAAATACTAGTCTAGTCGAGGATTAGGTTAGGTTGGGTAGATGCACTCGATCTATTAACTCAGATTAAATTAAGTTTACCAATTTTTTGTGACTTCTTGACACCAAATACTAGTCGGGTTAGGTTAGGTTGGGTAGATGCACTTCGATCTAATGCTCAGATTAAATTAAGTTTACCAATTTTTGTGACTTCTTGACACCAAATACTAGTCGAGGTTAGGTTAGGTTAGGTACATGCACTTGATCTATTAACTCAGATTAAATTAAGTTTACCAATTTTTTGTGACTTCATGACACCAAATACTAGTCGAGGTTAGGTTAGGTTAGGTAGATGCACTCGATCTATTAACTCAGATTAAATTAAGTTTACCAATTTTTTGTGGCTTCGTGACACCAAATACTAGTCGAGAAGTGATTGGTAACCCGATTTATTCATGTAGGACCATGATTTGACTTAATTGCGGCTATATTTGGGTAATTAGTTGGACCCCCGTCAACACTTCCATTAAGCTCTCCTATACATATTATAAAAAAGCCATGCGAGACAATGTCAAAGGTAACTTCATAATAACAAGGATTTACTCACTCTCAAAATACACCTGTATAAAGGTGTGATCTGTCCACGAGTATTCATGTTTGAGCCTCTTAGATTATCGAGGGGAACTCCAACTCCAAGTTTGTTTACTCCCTCCACCTGCCCTCAGTGCCGTGGTGCCTCAGTTGAAGGTAAATTATCGCGCTGGATCTTCAAATTATCGGAAAATTCCTGACATTATTAGTACTTACTGTATATTTATAGGGAAGTTAACTTTAATTAACGGAGTTATCACGCACGATATTTTGAAAAATCTGTGGGAAGCAAGACTTCCCATGAAAATCCAAATAATAAAAAAAAAACTGATAATGTTTCCAACCAAATAAAGGCTTCATGAGAACAATGAGCAAGATATTATTTTTTTTTACGGGGATTAGCCCACCCGGGCACAGGTCACTGACCCACATCGGGGCCTTGGGGGAAGAAAATGGGTATTATTGCGTTTACACACCGTTCATTCCTACCACTAATCTATTATTATATTCGAATAAGACATCTGATTATAAGATAATTTTCACCTATTACATTACTGACGGAAATGTATAATAAAGGAGATAGCTTTTCCAAATAAATTTCTATTTTCTTCCATTACTTCCCGCCATTATCGTGTGCCTCTCACCCAACACTGTGTCTCTGGCGTCTCCTTCATAGATCATGGCGCAGGCGTACCCGTACCCGTACCCGTACACCTCACGCGTTTTTGCTAATTCAGAGTATATTTGGCCAATCAAAATCGAGTTTTATTTTGGGTCTCATATTTTGAAATTTAAGTTCAGTTCCGACCTTGGAAGTCTGGGTTGGATGTCACCTAAAGTATATGGAGCTGATTGCGAGTTTTTGGAAAAAAAAAACGTAGAAACTATAGCATTTTTTCGATCGCATGGTGTTCTTTAAACCTCCGTAAAGTGTACTAAGAGCAAGACTGAATGTAAATATCACAAAGACCAACATATGTGGCGTTGTGTAAGAATCCCAGAATGCAACAACGAACAAGAACCAGGCCAATAAGGTAAGAAATAGGTGATTCCATCATATGGTGAGAGTCAGTTAGGTTAGGTTAGGTTTTTCTAATGTTTTTTGTGTATTTTTTAGTCGCTTAGCCACTTGTTTTCGGAAAACGTCAAACGAAAAAAAAATCGCTAAAAAAACGGCTAATTTCCGCCAAAAATGAAGGTCATATTGGTCTAAACACACAAATACACTAGAAAAATATATTTTTTACTTGCTAAAAGTGAAAGGTGTGACAATGCAAATTTACCAGAAAATCTAATATTAACAATAATAACATAAATAAAATATATATATATATATATATATATATATATATATATATATATATATATATATATATATATATATATATATATATATAATTCATAGTAAATAATTATAAATAAAAAAAATGAAAAAAAAATAACAATAAAGATCCACCAAGAAATACAAAAATTAAAAAAATATCAAAAGTGAGAAACAATATACTGTACTGTACTGTATGTTGTGTTGTCGATAGTAAGAGAAACAATTGAGACCGTGCAATTGTGTGTAAATGAGACAGAAAGTCAGATGAGCAACCTGGGACTTGGTCACAATTTTTGTGATGCCTTTGGCAACAGGTGGTACACCTACCACTGTGGTAGGTGTAGTGGATACTCCCCCCTACAACTGCTGAGTTGTCACTTACCAGCCAACCAGCGGCGAGTACCACAGACCGGGTCTCGCTTTTGGACTGCGTGGCTATTGGCCAGTTACCGCCTTCACCTTAGCCAATCAGCTGCGCCGCTCACTTTCTTTTACAGATACTGAAACTAATGTGAGGGTTGAGCCTGGATATGATTTGCAATTTCAGCCAAATTTTGTTTAAATTTGGTAACAGCAGCCTTCACAAGTTCTGTGGTGTGAATATTGGTGAGCTTTGAACTGTACTTGTTTTGCAATAAAAAAATTCCTCTTCCCAAAGAGGGTTAAATTTGCGATTTTCTTCTGCAATTTTTCGTTTCTTTGTTGCTGGAGGCGGCATGTTTCCTTTCAGGTCTGAAACAGAATACCTATGTTACAGAACCTTTCTCTGTCACTTGACTTGAGTCACTCACATTTCAAAAAGTATTAATTGCAGCAATTAATTATAGACACAGTAATAGGCAAAAGCTAAATATGTTGTGGGTTACTCATAAAGGGTAAACAAAACGCAATGCAAAACTAGCTTAGCCTTGCCTAACATTCTGTGGCCCCAGCAGATGAAACTTGTCAGCAAGCAACTTATCTCTACACATATGTGTGATGCATGCACAAATCCCCTCGTTATAAAAATGTATATGACCATCGTGATTCCAGTGCAGTTATCTGAAATATCTACAGTAGTGGGCGTATTCTTGTAGCTGTCAGTTGATGCAGTTTTGAGGTAGCAACAAACGAGCTGCGATAACACACGCTCTTTTCTACTACATTACGACTAAATAATTTATTGTTATATAAACAACCTTGTTCTACATATATTCACCATTAATTTTCAATGTTATTATGTTTAAAACTTTCCAAAAAAACTAGGGAACACTCAGCGTGGATCAAGCCCGGATAACGTTACGCTGTTTTCGCCTTGCTTTCATGGCGACACTTGTGCCTGAGGAAATCTAATAATATTGAAAAAATAATATCTCGGTTATCCTTAATTTCAGTCGGAAATATCATAGAAAAAAGTCTTAGAATTGTCTAAACATTACGAAATACAAAATAAAAACAGCGAGAGAAGGACCGGTGTATTTACTATAAATTTACTATCGTTTTCGCCGTACTGTTGCCGTTAATCATATATAAGGCAATTGTTGCCATTAATCGTTTTCGCCGTACTGTTGCCGGTAATCATATATAAGGCAATTGTTGCCATTAATCGTTTTCGCCGTACTGTTGCCGTTAATCATATATAAGGCAATTGTTGCCATTAATCGTTTTCGCCGTACTGTTGCCGGTAATCATATATAAGGCAATTGTTCATTCGAAACTAATTTCCCAATTGTCTTCTGATATTCGAATGGATACTCCTATCATTGTAGATTTCTGCTCTCGTAAACAAGGTATTGTAGTGGATTCCTCCCGTACAAACGTTGTTTATCGCTGGCTAGCCGACCCCGAGAATTCCCCAGTGTATGCCTCGTGGTCTAGGTCAGCAACCAGCGCCGCCTTACATGACTGAGGTCAACTATTAAGCCACGCCTACCCCGCTATATAAGACGGAACGGAACGGAACTGTACAGCGTTAGGCATGTCATTTATGAAGCAAACAAACAACAGCGGGCCCAATACACTGCCCTGTGGTACCCCGCTTGTGACGGGTACACATGATGATTTCGTGCCAATAATCACCACACATACTTGCGGTCATGTAGCATGTCTCCGACCCACGCTAGGACATTTCCCCGGGCCGAACCCCATATCCTTCCAGTTTAATTTTCAGCCTCTCATGGGGTACACTGTCGGAAGCCATGGCAAAATCTAGGTGCTATATATTGTCGATATTGCCACCCCGTTTCAGAAGTTGGGCCCAAATATCCAGTACCTTGAGTAATTGTGTTAAGTAAGAGCGCCCCTGCATAAAACCGTGTTGGCAATCCTTTACAAGGTTGTTTTGTATTAGATGTTCCATCATGGCTGTCATAGTCACAATAGCATAGCTAGTCTGTTTAATACTCAATTATTCATATTATGCTAAATCGCCCACAAAACATGTAAACCTTTTGAGTCCCCCAGTTAAAGCGTTCGTTCTCTAACCATTTCAGGACGTCTTTGTTCCTCCGTTTTCTATATTTTTTACTCTATCAGGGACTCGGTTATTTTGAATACCTTTTTCGAGTGTTCACGAATTTGAAATTGTGAGTGAATGAATTTACTGTACAGCCAATGATTACCTACAATGAGAAAAATATTCTAGATGTATTGAGTATATGTTGAAGGCCCTATAAATCTTTTTGTGCGGAGAATTTCGTTTTAGGAAATTATGTTTTGAGTACTCATTCTGCCGGCTGTAAATCATATGTTTCGTGTATTGTTACGCGATTGTAATTCAAAACTGAAGTCACAGCGTTTTGATCTATGAACATCAGAGAATCCGATGGGTACCTAGAAAGTGTTGTCAATCTTGTATTGTATAAGTTAGATAGTATTCTGAAATGTAAACAAAAAACTGACTTATCGCTAGAGTTTAACGGTTGAACTCAGTTAACTGCTCCCTAAGCTCTGCCTCCAGTACACTGCCATTCAGAGCATTTGTCGCCAGTTTAATTCTTGTCTTTGAAAGCTTAGTCACTGCTTAGTTTAAAAAAAATAAACTTAAAAAATTTAAATAAGTTTGTAGCCTAATTTTCACACGTCAATGTGTAAAGAAGCGGAGTCTGTTGATATATCTGTGGAAGTTACGGCTTGGTAGCTGATGGGTGAGCGTGGAATGAGAGGCTGACTCGACCTCACTTACGCCCAGACACCTCTCCATGACAGGTACATTCAGAATTCCGTGTCTCCCCCATATTTATGTTACTGGAAGCAGTCAGAAGTCTAGCATTTTTGTCAGGTAACCTGTATTGTTGGTACTCAAGTGAACTATGAGTATAGTGGTGTGTGTTTTTTTAGAGGTAAACCAAGTAAGGATGTATGTTGTAAGATATACTGTACCTTGTTGAGAAGTACACGAGTGTTGCTCATGGTAGTTGCGTGTACTGGAAGGAGGCAGGAGTCTAGCATTACTGTAATAAACCATTTTTATTGTATGTTAGGGGTATTATTCTCCTACAGTGTCCACCTTTGTTTCTCCCCATATCATGGTACCATTATTACTGTTACCCCGTGTCCTAACCCCCGAGCCAATGCTACCACACGTCAGAGGATAGGTAGTGTCTTATGAAGTAAAGTAACTAAGACCTAGCGAACATGGAGTGAAGTAATAACTTGTGAGAGAGAAGGTTTGCAGAGTTAAGAAGATAAGACAGATAGAAAAGTAGTTGTTTGAGGTAGTGGGACTGAGAAATTAAATTAAAGTAATATAGGAAGAAGGTCCCCTGTAGTTAGTGGAGTCTCCTACTTGGTGAGGCTTTCTCTCGTGTCTCTAGCACCCCTACAAAATGGAGCACAGCGGTGGGATCTTGTCCCACTCACCCCTATATTCTGAATTGATATCAATGAAGGAGATTTCATCTGTGAAAGGATCGTATTTGCTGTTACGTATTTGGCGTTTGAGGAACACAGAA